CAATAATTTTGGGACAAAATTTTTTGGGCAAAGTGGACAATAATTATAGGACGGAGGGAGTACTAAACATCGTTCATGTAAAAATACATCTTGACCGATGGGGGAGGATCATGGAAAATCCCATACATGCCCAAAATTGACACTTTTTGTATTTTTGCGGTCACCAACATAGAATCCATCATCTCTAGCCAACCAAAAACACGTCCGAGTATCAGGATCCCCGCAATAGCTATCAAGCCAATTCATATTGAATATTTCAAAAGTTGCATTTCTTTCACCGCACCAAAAGTAGCACCAGATGAGTGTGTCATAGACGACGGGAAATTTATATGTGAAATCTTCATTGAATCCGCGGACATGATGACCAATGTCATCATTTTTGTTAGAATAACAATGAAATGCGAGAAGGTCAGTTTGAGATATCCCATTCTGTATGATTACGATATGCCTGTCGATCATTCCCAATACGTCCATTCTTTGAATTTGAAGAAAACTCAACGAAAAAATTAGTATTGAGAAAAGAGTTTTCATGTTGGTTGTTTTTTTTGGTGTTTTGAACTCGATGAGTGATACTAATAGCAACCAATTTGTTCTCTGAGGAATTTATGCAGTGAGTTTCGAGCACTTGGAAGCTTAAACTCTTAAAATTGGAAGTGTGTTGGTGGTTTATTAATTCAATTAATTGGTCAAATCCAATATCGGTAAGAAGCCAATTGTGGTAGTTAATGATGAAATGACAAAAGGTAGTAAATATTATTTTTTTACACTTGGCACATGATGATCTGTATCCTACTAGTATTAAAGTTTATATACGGTTTTTTTTTGTGTGTGTCACATTTATTTTGAAATATTGACCTTGTAACTAATTTTGGCATACATTCGATTACACTCTTCCATTTTAGACCAAAAGAAACAAAATGAATTGTGTTGATTTTTTAAAAAAGAAAATCTTCAATGTGGCCCTGAAAGATGCAAAACCACCGGACTTTATGTTACTACAAATCAAAGGCAAACTCAATTTTTTTGTGCAGAAAATTCTTTTAGTCTTTCAGGAAAAAAAAAAAAAAAAGAGAGAGAGAGAAGGCTGTACTTTATGTTTTCATTATTCTGACAAATTATTATGAATGGACATTGTAATTTTAGAAATTTGGTCCAACAAGCACTACACGCTTTATACACCTCTGGTTCTTAATATAAAATAATATTTTGATTTATCTAAATTTTACCTATGTATTTTTAATTTTAAAATTTTTTTAAACATATTTCCTAGTAATCATGACTCGGGAGAACTCATAATGTGAAAATTGATATTTGAGGGGGTTTTTTTTTAAAATGCATACTAGATAAAATAATATAAATCAAAATACTTTATATTAAATACCAGAAGTAATAGTTTGTAACCGTGAAATTTTGACAAGTTCTTTCTTTTGTTAAAATTATAATCACTCCGATTCTATCTATAGATACAAAATTTAAAGTAAATCCAGATGTGAGGTAGAAATGGAGTAGCAGTGAGGGTACCCAGAGTTTGGAGACATTGTTCTATCCTTCTGGGAAAATTCTTCCTGGAGGCAGGTCATTGCCTCATTGGGATGGTGAGATCTCAATGCAAGATTGGGAGATTTCGGTCTTGCAAAACTCTATGATCGTTGAACTGATCCTCAAACTTCAAATGTTGTTGGAACTGTCGGATCAATGACTAGGCCTATTGTGTTGAAGTTAGGTCTATTGTGTTCTAATTCAGATCCAATGGCTAGGGCAACTATGCAGAAAGTGATGCTCTATATGGATGGCTCTATGCCAATGGGTGTTTCGGTTGGCGCTGTGGGATTTCAAGATGTTTCAATGTCAAACCAATCTTATCCGTCCTCGTCACGAGATTTATATTCTCACTTTTGCCCATGTAACTGGAGGATCATTTCTCTCTGGTGGACGTTGATTCACTTATTTCTGATGGTTTGAGGGCATGCATTTTCTTAATGTGGGATGTTTTTGTCTGTGGCTTCTTATAAGAATTAGTTGGTTTTCGTGTTGCTGTGATGTATCTAATATGTTGTTATTACTTTAGATCGTCCGGCGCAGATGTTGGATTTTTTATTATTCCATCCTCGGTTGATCATCTCCATCGAGACTGTTGTTGTAGGATGAGGCAATGGCCATGGAACCGGTTGCGACGGTTTTCCAATGCCCTTATTAGTGGCCAATTTTGTGAACTTCTTAGCTGCATCTATCATTATTATTTAATTTACAGGACATTTATTTTAATCATGATTTTTCCTACTGCTCTCATTTAGTTATATTGCAATAAGACATTCCAAAGTCCAAACGTTCTAATCTACATTCTAAACAATACTTCATCCCTCACACAATTTTATTTAATTTTTATGAAAATTAAACAATGCTATAAGATGGATTATTTTCTTCTTTTTTATTGGGGGTGTAACATCCTGTCACACATTGCTACCTGGCAAAGTAAATGACATGTATATAAGTCTCAGACTCATAAAGTACTAACAATTTGGGTTAACCATTTTGGGCTATCGAGGACGAAGCCTGAAAGTTGTTGGGCCAGTCTATGAGGCTGAGATGTTACAAATGGTATCAGAGCGGACCCTAGTCTAGGAGCTAAGTGCTACGTGTGGACACACCTCTGAGTCCACTGACGGGACAAGTGCAGAGACACCTCTAAGCCTACAGACGGGACAAGTACGAAGCACGGGAGCCACCTCTAGAGTCCTATTTCAGGGGAAGACTGGGCCACATTCTTGCTTGTTGGGCTTTGCGAGGACCAAAGATCCAAAAGGGGTGGGCTATAACATCATGTCCCATATTGCTACCTAACAAAGTGAATGACTTGAGCCACCTCTAGAGTCCTATTTCGGGGGAAGACTGGGCCACATTCTTACTTGTTGGGCTTTGCAAGGACGCAAAGATCCAAAGGGGGTGGGCTATAACATCCTGTCCTATTTTGCTACCTGACAAAGTGAATGACCTGCATATAAGTCTCATACTCATAAACTACTAACAACTTGGGTTAACTATTTTGGGCTAGCGAGGACGAAAGCCTGAAAGTTGTTGGGTCAGTATATGAGGCTGGGATGTTACAAACGGTATCAGAGCGGACCCTGGTCTAGGAGCTAAGTGCTACGTGCGGACACACCTCTGAACTCACTGACAGAACAAGTGCAGAGACACCGCTGAACCTGCAGACGGGACAAGTGTGAAGTACGGGAGCCACCTCTAGAGTCCTATTCTGGGGGAAGACTGGGCCACATTCTTGCTTGTTGGGCTTTGCGAGGACGCAAAGATGCAAAGGGGATGGGCTATAATATCCTATCCCACATCGCTACCTGGCAAAGTAAATGACCTGTATATAAGTCTTAAACTCATAAACTACTAACAACTTAGGTTAATCATTTTGGGCTAGCGAGGATGAAAGCCTGAAAGTTGTTGGACCAGTCTATGAGGTTGGCATATTACAAATGGTATCAGAGCGGACCCTGGTTTAGGAGCTAAGTGCTACGTGTGCACACACGTCTGTGCCCACTGATGGTACAAGTGCAGAGACACCTCTGAGCCGGCAGACGAGACAAGTGCGAAGCACGGGAGCCACTTCTAGAGTCCTATTCCCGGGGAAGACTGGACCACATTCTTGCTTGTTGGGATTTGCGAGGACGCAAAGATCCAAAGGGGGTGGGCTGTAACATCATGTCCCACATTGCTACGTGACAAAGTGAATGACTTGTATATAAGTCCCAACCTTATAAACTACTAACAACTTGGGTTAACCATTTTGGGCTAGCGAGGATGAAAGCCTGAAAGTTGTTGGACCAGTCTATGAAGCTAGGATATTACAAATGGTATCAGAGCGGACGCTGGTCTAGGAGCTAAGTGCTACGTGTAGACACACCTCTGAATCCACTGACAGGACAAGTGCAGAAACACAGCTGAGCCTGCAGACGGGACAAGTGCGAAGCACATGAGCCACCTCTAGAGTCTTATTCTGGTCAAAAACTGGGCCACATTCTTGCTTGTTGGGCTTTGCGAGGACGCAAAGATCCAAAAGGGGTGGGCTGTAACATCCTGTCCCATATCGCTACCTGGCAAAGTGAATGACCTGTATATAAGTCTCAGACTCATAAACTACTAACAAGTTGGTTTAACCATTTTAGGCTAGCGAGAATGAATGCCTGAAAGTTGTTGGGCCAGTCTATGAGGCTGGGATATTATATGGGGGTTGTTGGGCCAGTCTATGAGGCTGTGATATTACATGGGGGATGAAACAAGTGCAAAAGATCTCGAGTAAAGTAGATTTGTTAAGTGGGTTGTCTTTTTTTGCTTCTAAAAATTCAGAAAATCAGAGAAATAAAATTCGAATTGTGAAGAGTAGAGACAATCCAGATGTACAAAATTGTACTATAAACGACCTAAAACTCTCCAAATACATCACTGAGCATAAAAACTATGCCAAAAAAAAAAAAAAAGCTTACAACAAAGTGAGCCTACACGATGAAAGGGAGGTTTGAATCGCCGGGAGTCTTTTAGTTGTTTCAACCACATTGTTGTGTATCCCCGGCGTATTGTAATCTAGTAGCGTGTATAATATATACCTTTAATCCCAAAAACCAAAAAACAAAAAAAAAAAGGAACATACAATGTCAGCTTCCTTAATTACAACAAAGGCCATTTGAAAAAAAATTACAACAAAGGGAATCACCTGCATTTTCATGGGAAAGTTTGAGATCAGTAAAAGTTACGCTGAATCAAGCCCTATTCCTAACATAAAGTACAGCTCTTGAACCTACACTAGACCAAAGCCGGGGTTCAAAACTTCTTTTTTCTAATGGTGGTCATGTAAGTTACCAAAATCATATAAAATGAAAGGAAAATCAACTTAGAATTTTATTTTTTTTTAAATTTAAAATACTTATATACATATCATACTATTAGAGTTATCATCCATATATTGATGGACCAAAAAGTATGTGAAAACAGTACTCTTAACAAAGGGATAATGGTAAGTCTATCTTCTTATGTGGGAGCATCACTTCAGATCTTCCAGCGCACATATTGGATTTCTGGTTGTTCCATCGGTTGATCATCTCCATCAAGACTGTTGTCGTAGACTGAGGCAATGGATTTTGAAGCGGCTGCGACGGTTTTCCAAAGCCATTATAAATGGCCAATTTTGTAAACTTATTATCTGCATCAGAAACTACATCATTCTTCACATTTACAGGCCGTTGAATTGGGTGTTGCTTCTTCAAATTGCTCTTGATGGAATACTTCTGCTCCGGTAACGGTGCTGGAACTCGGTAGCAGCTCCGAAAAAAGGGATGTTTAAGCGCCTGTGCTGGAGTTGGCCTCTTGCATGGATCCCAAGAACAGAGTGATTGAATCAGATTAATTGCATCCGGGCATGCAGAAGGGATCAAGCCAGGGAGATAGATGCCTTCACATTGTGGAAACTTGTAGTTAAGAATTTTAGCTGGTCGAATTCCTTCCGGCCAGTCTTTCTCCGTCGGAGTCCCTAAAACACAGCATATCTTGTACATCTGATCGGCCTCATCCAAACCATCAAACAGGGGAAACAGAGTAAAGAGCTCTGCCATGATTGCACCCATTGACCACATATCAACCGCCGGGCCATAATCCGGCGAGTTGAGTATAACTTCCGGCGGCCGGTACCACCTCGTCATGACGTATTCAGTGTACGGAGGCTGAGAATCAATTTCCCGGGCAAGACCCATATCAGCAATCTTGATCACGCGGCCTTCTGAAAGAAGCAAATTCTCGGGTTTCAGGTCCCGATGGAAGTATCCGCGTTCGTGCATGTGAGCCAGGCCCTGAAAAACTCTGAAACACCAATCTCTGACTAGGGATTCTGGAAAACTCGTTGCTCCCGTCCTCTTTTTGTGCTCGATCAGATGCAACAGATTGAAATCCAGGTATTCAAACACGAAATACAGAGTGCCCTGTTCTTTGATCACTTCTTTGAGCTTCACAATGTTTGGATGGTTCATCCTCCTCAGGGATTTTACTTCCCTGAGATTTATGCATTCTTCCCATGTTTCAAATCTCTTATTTGTCACCATCTTGATTGCAACAATTTCTCCAGTCTGCTTGTTCTTCGCTTTCCAAACAACCCCAAAGCCGCCCCTTCCAACCTCCTCAATTTTGGTGTACCTTTCCATGATTTTTGTTTTCAAAGTAAACTAGCCCTCTTGAAGATTTTTATGAATACTGTCTAACAACAGAACAATTATAACTTAGAAAAAATCTTCCTGTGTTGTTTTAATCTGATCGCTAAAATTCCCCATCGGAGACTCAAATTCCACGATCAAGACTTCCCTGGAACGATGATCTCCACTCTAGCACTAGAACCGTAATTGCTTCTTCGTTTGGGAGTGAAATCCATCGTTTACGACGCAAGCAAAGCTGGGAGAGGACAAGTTTTTGAAATCTTTACTTCGGAAAATTGCCTTGTTTTGTTTCATGGTGTAAATATATTGAGGAAAACTTTAGACTTATATATAGAGAGAAAACAGAGAAAAAGTTGGTAGTAATAGAAACCAAACGGGATTGCGAAATTTAAGTCCGACTCGGATTAGGAAACCCGTCTAAATTTTAATGAATTTAGGAAAGTTGATTTGCTCGAAAAGTGATTTTCCTAGGTTTTCCGTTTTTTGGCCCTAAAAAATGTTATTTTAGGGGAGATATGTTAGGGTCAGGCAATTTATGAATTTATTGATGAGAATTAGTGTAGGAACAATTCACCCCTTTATCAGTTGTGATTAATCGACATACATATTTCAAGTTCAAGATGAAAAATGCCACAAAAGTTCTGGCCCTATCTCAAAGTAACAAGACAATTATTTAGAGAATACAGGATCTAGGATCAATCCGATTGTAGATGTATATTACTTAATTGTTACTCCCTTATTTCTAAATCTAAATCATTTTATCAATAGTAGGCGATTTTATTTTTTTTGGGTTGAAATACCTTCCTAGACTATTGGAATTCTCATGCACTATTTTCAATACCACTCCTACTTCATATTTTAATTACTCTTTTCAAAATTTTATAATTTATTTTGATACTTATTATTCTCTCTGTCCCAAAATTATTGTCCAGTTTGAAATCTTACTTTTAATACAATTTAAACTACAAATAAAAACTCAAACAGGACAATAATTATAGAACGGAGGGAGTGCATATTATAATTCACTTCATTGTAGTTATTTTTTAAATAAACTTTTTATTTTTAACTATTAGTAATACTTTTGGGTTCAGGAGAGCGCAATTGTTTTGTTTTCACATTTTTGTGTACAAACCCTGGACTGAAAATTTGCTTGGGACGTAAAAAGTTGAAAAGTTGGGTTTTTGGTCAAAATGTATGGGACGAAATTTTTTTTATTTTTTTTGCCCAAATATATGGGACGAAATATGCGGTTTAGTCGAAGATGAACGCTCCAGAAAATCTTAATCAGGGAAGGAAAACATGGTGTATAGTTTCGGAACTCTGATTAACAACTTCACCATTTCTTCGGCCTTTAGGGTTTAGGGCCGCAGGAGCAGCAACAGCAGCGAGGAGCCACGGCGGGGAGGATGATCAAATCTGTTTCAATAGCGTGCTGCTTTTTCTTGGTTTTTTGAAGAGATATAAATTAGAGATCTAAAATCCTAGCCATACCGCACAAGGGCCTCTTCTTGGTGATGATGGGCGAAATGTTGATAGGTTACATTTAATGTGTAACATTGAACGAAGGAATTAAACTACTGGAAACGATTTGGCACTCTTCCAGGCCCTAGAAAATACAAAATCCAGATATCCATCCTCAATAAACACTGCATTCATAGGGATTTTCCGGGAAGTTTACGACCATCTCACTGTCCAAAACCAAAATCTTTCTCGTCATCTCCAAAACATTGTGTTCTCTCGAGAACCCTTGATGATGCTGCAGTTCAATAGAAGAGAGCAGATCCTGATTAACCACAATGCATAATTAAAACTATGAACCAGCACACAGAAACATAACTTAGCCCGCCACAATGCATAATTAATTACATAACAACTCCTCCACGGCCTTCTCAACTTCCGAATCAACTAATTGATGTTCCAAATGATGGTAACAAACGGTGACAGGAAGGGAAAAACAAATAGAACAGTACTTGGATTAAACCTGGTGCACCTCCAAAAACTAATGTCCAAATATATCTATCTTCCATTCACCTGTAGCTTCTCTGGGATGAACTATTGGTCATTCTAAATAACAGGACTCCTTTTAATAGAAGTATACCATTCAATACAATGAAGGGGTCAGCTCATTTCACAAGAGCAGAAGTGATTTGCTCGCGTAACTCTCAAATATGCAATAACATAACTTACGAAGACAGGAACATCAAATTTCTTCTAAATCACATATCTTTCACACCACATTAATTCTATGGAGAAAATCATCCTTTCTCTTTGTATCTGATCTATTAACAACTCCGCATTACACACATAACTTCAGTTCGCAACAACGTGAAGGCTAACACTTCATGACTTCAGAATCAGAACCAGAAAGAAGGTAAATACTACAACATTGATTCATTTTCATTCGTAAAATTAACGTTATTACTACTTTGAGGCAAAACCTTCTTACAAATTGTTCATGGGTACATTTGTTGAAGCATTGTTTCGAAGGAAGAAAAAGTAATGTTGTGATTCTGATCTGCAGAGACTATTTTTATGTACTCAAGTCAAGAATGAGGTCAATTATGAACTATCTCCGCTTACTGATTCAAACATGACCACTGAAAACTCTTGATCAGGGACCTCATTGAGCCTCTATTTGGTATACACATCCATTTCTCAGCCTCTGGAGCTATATTACTGAATAAATCTACAAGGGAAAACCGATAACTAGCCTGATAGAGCTAGCAGAAGCAGTTATACTAGCCTTTGGCATTCTACTTACAAGAAAATGTAAATAGCTTATGTTCTTTAGTTGGGTAAAGTTTGTAACAGTACTACTGAGCAGGGGCATCTATTTTCAGCTGCAGGGCCGGTTCCGACCCGTCGATAGTTTCGCCTAGAACAGTATATCAATTTAAGAAATCGTAGTGAGCGGGAAGATATGACACTCGGTGGTAAACTATTATAGGAATCCATGCTGAGGGAATAACGAATTGGACAACCAGATATGAAATTAGAAAAAAGCTCGTCATTTCCCTCGTAAAAGAAAACATTATCAAGTTTTAAGACTGTTAACTTGGGAAGATGAACCATACTAGGAACCTTGACCATTACATCTTTTAGTGTATGAAATCCAAGGACAATCAAAACGATGTACAGAAGTACTCTCTCTGTCCCAAAATTATTGTCCAATTTGAGATTTCACTTTTAGTACAATTTGAACTATAAATGAAAATCCTAACGGGACAATAATTATGGGATGGAGAGAGTACTTTTAAAATACTTCGCTCATGAATTGGGAGACAATCGAAACAAAATGATTAGAAGAGGGAGAAGAGCAGTGGGTGGTACAGATTTGTAATGTAACTCAGATTGTTTGAGATTAGAACTGATTTATAGGTATTTAACCTTGACTATGATTCTTTAGTGGTTTTTTTTAGTACAATTTATACTAAGAGTGAAAATTTAAATTGGATAATATTTTCAGACTAACAAGAAAATATTACTTTCTTATTGTAGCAGTATTTTTGTTGTATGTTTGGTGATGACTGACAAACAACAGTATTTAAAGTATACTCTTCTCGTCCTTTAAAAAATTGTTAACTGAAAAGGAACGGGGTTAGCCTTTTGTTTCCAAAATTTGAAACACGCTTGCATTTTTATACATAGTCCGCCTTTGATCAAGACAGTTGTTCGATCTTAGATTTGTTGTGATGGAATGGATGGATGCTATTTCTTATTTATTTGGGTAATTAGTATTCTGTTCATCATAAATTGAGTGATATAATCCGTCAAAATAAGTTGCAATGAACAAAATAAGTTCAAAGAGTATAATTATATGTCTTTGATAACGTAGGTGTTATTACTGTTCAATCAATTTGATCGAGTTGGTCTTTGAAATTGTGAGTCACTTAAATCAAAATGAAAAAAACTGAAGTCGACAACATTTTGCCATTTTGGGGAATTTATGATGTGTTAGAGATTTGACCATCCAAACCAATGCAAAATTTACACACAGTCACACAGTAAATTACTACACTAATTAGTCAGTCAAACAAGTTTAGTCCCCTCTCCCGATTCACCTCGTTTTTTCCTGTTATCTTCTATTCTTTGGTTCCAATTTTCCATCACCTTTTTCACTTCCAAATCTAATTATCTTCCATGATTCCATCCCCCATATAGCATGTACAGAAACTCTTCCTGTCTTAATCACATTAAACAGTACGCCCGAACAAAATTCTTATTTTTGATCTATTAATGATGGCTGACTAAAGAAAATAGAGAAAGAAGAAGTGGTAAACCATTAAAAAAAAAAGAGAAAGGTAAAGTGTTCCTTATATAAATCTTACAAAATGATCAAAACCTATTAAAATACTCAATCCTCGAACGTTTATTTGTTGGTTCATCACCAACCTTATGCCTTGAGGAAGAAGAATTCCATTCTAGCTGAAAACGGATCCTCTTCCATACATCACAGTTCTTACATCCAGTATATTGTAAACCCGTCCAATCAAGTGGCTGCTTTTGGCATATTTTATCATCTGCGTGAAAAACAACTCTCTCAACTGCATTTACCACACCCTGAGAATACATCTCAGCCAGCTTTCTCTGCAGGTGCTTCACCTCGCATGAACCAACAACTCCCATTCCGACAGGCCTTCTTCGGCCGTTGCTGCGCGTAAGTCACTTGCGAGGACAACAAACTATAGTTACAAGTGGATTTCATTTGGGTTATTGGTAGAGCTCCAAAAGATACTATTGGAAACAGACCCGTCCAATCATTTTAATTTGTTTTATCCTAATGTATTTTTTTTTATAATTAAGAAAACAGAACGAATATGAAAAAATATTTTTAAGATTTCTTTAACAATTAAAAAAAGTACAATAGGTGAAATTTAGGATAAATAAATCAAAATATTTAGGGTTAATATCAAATACACCCTTGAGATCAAATATCTAAAATACCCTTACCTTTTCAAAAAATATCGACAACACCCCTTACTGGTGAGTCAACTATCAAAATGACTTTCAGGCCACAGAAAGCTTACGTATACCAATGACATAAACAAAAAGGGACCTGTGAAGACGTTGTTGCCCTTCACTCAGATAATTTTTAACACTTAAAAGCCTGTTCTCTTTTTATGGCAGTTTTACGGTTTTTCACCCATAATGGTATTTTGCTTGAAGAACAACCACATAAATAAGAATCCAATCTCCATTAATCAAATTTCATCACTATGCACTCGCCTTTTAGCCACGATAACACCACCAACATCATAAACTCACACAAGAAAAATAGACACAACAATGGATCAATATTGGAAAATGAAACATTTCGCCCAATTAAATAACATAGATATAAGAAAAAGCAATTTATACAAAATTAATAAATTTTGGAGGAACCCCTTTTGCTCCCACCTCGACTAATTTGAAGGAATTAGGACAAAAAAAAAAAAAGAAGGAAAAATCGACACCAAAAATAACCCCAACATCCTTATTTCTTTTTTCCACTACCTGAACCTAATTTGAGATAGAGAATCCCAAAAAAAAAAAAGCAAAAAAAGGTATTGAGTCCCATTTTTTTAATTATTATTAATCCCACAAAAAATAAAAAGCAACTGACGAAACTTGCTTTCTATATCTCACATTCTGGTTGATGGCGAAGGCATCAACAATTCAAAAAGAAAAATTTACGGTATCGAGAACCCTGCAATCTCTAAAATCGGGATTGAAATGCTACCAGTGTCACAAATTTCTTCATTCTCTCTCGAGTTTGCCGTCGTAGAGCTCAAAGGAAGCAATTCCCATCTTCTTCTTTTGACCCCATCGATGATGTCGTCGGAAGCTGGTTGTGGAGGTCCTGAGTGGAGGCAGGGGTGGGCGGTGGCGGTTTTTGGAAAAAGGGATTTTTGCTTTTTATTTTTTCATTTAAAAGGGATGGGTTTTATTGTCATTTTCCTTATTTTACCAGTTGACTGGTAAGTCTCGCCGGTCAAAGGGGGTTTTTGATATTTTTCCGAAAGGTAAGGGTGTTTTAGAGATTCAACCAAATCTCGAGAGTGTATTTGATATTAACCCAAATATTTAGACTAAGAACTAAGAAGGACCGGAGACAAGGGGCTTTGGGTCTTCTGTGACACATTTATGTGATATTATCTGAAATGATGACAAGTGTCTTATTAACTTAATACAACTCTAACCAAACCAAACTCTGGTTACTTATTTAATTAATTAGTACTTAATTTATTCATTTCATAAAAGAAAAAAAAAAAACCCCCTCCCCTCCCCTCCCGCCGGTGTCGTCACTCCAATTTTCCGGCGATCAAGCGTTTCTCCAGAGATCTGTCCATGGAAGAGGATTATGTCTGTGATTGTTTTATATGGATACCTTTTTTTACTTTTAATATAATAAGTTTCAAAAGTGGAGCATTAACATGGACGGAAAAATTAATGAGAATTTGAGTTCTCATTTCAAACCATTTACATCGGTGGAGTTGTGGTGGCGTTGTGGCTGCGTATCTCATTATTCATCAGTTTTGCGACAAATAGTGATTTGCCATATTGATTTGGGTACAAAACCAACAAAAAATCACTAGCCAAAAAGGGAATAGCCCACCGTCAGTTTCAATCCATAAAATAAAAACCCCATTATTTTTAAAAACAATAGAGGCTCCACTTTTAAATCTTATTAAAAGAAATGATTCTTTCCCATGGATAGGATTTATGGGAGCGAACGGTTGATCGGCGGAAAACGGAGGAGCGATGTTGCCGGTGGGTGAGTAGTGACCGAAGATTGACAGTTTTATTTTTATTTTTGTTTATCCTGAAAATTCGTATTTGTTTGTAAAGTTATATTAGGGAATTACATGACAAAGTTAACCAGAGTTTTCTTTAGTTAGGAGTGTGTTAAGTTGATGGACACTTATCATCTTTTAAAGCAGTGTCACAGAAAGTATCACACAAGTGTGTCACCGAAGACCCAGAGCCGGTAACAAGGGTATGTGTTCAATCCATTTGATCGGATTGGTCTTTGCAAATTGTGATTCACTTAAATCCATTCATGCGACTAACTAATCTTCATTTATTTTTATTATAAGAAGAAATTGTTATTTTGGGCAATTCTCATGTATTGACCAACAAAACAAACTTAATGAAAAACTGAAGAAGTCGACAACATTTTGCCATTTTGGGCAATTTATGATGTGTGATGAGGAATTTGACCATCAAAACCAATGCAAAATTTACACACAGTCACACAGTAAATTACTACACTAATTAGTCCCACAAGACACGCACCCATCTTCCTTCCTGCTTCCCCATCCCGATTCAGTATTCACCTTTTTCTTTGTTTCCATCACTTTTTTTTTTTTTTCACTACCAAATCTCTTTCCATTCCACGATTCCATCCCCAAATAGCATGTACAGAAACTCTTCCTCACGTGATTTGCCCCCTAATCACATTCCCATCATTCACCATTCATCTTTTTAACGTTTCACTTTTTCCACTTTTATGATGTTCATCATATAATAACAATCAGCTTTAGGTCAGTTGCATTTATTTATTCTTCATTGAGATTTTGAACTTTGGTCAGATCCATATTTACTGGTGTAGTACTCAGTCATTTTCGTCAAGATCTCATTTATATTGGTTTTTGGGATTTGCGTTGAGGCCATTGTGCCAAGAAGTTCCCAGTTGAGATTTTTCTTTCTTGAAACGAAAGATGGAAATGCACGATCTTTGATGGATTTTATTCATAGTTAAATCTGTTTATTGTTGATTTGGGGGACGGCAATTTTGGGAAAAGATGGAAACTTCAAGTGGGCTGAGTCCCAGATTGAGTTCAATAGCTGCTAACAAAGGGAAAAATGAGGACCCGGATTTTGCAAACTTCGAATTGGAGCAGGAACAACATGTTTCTGGATCGGATCATCATTTTCGGTCAACGAATGCGTTGGAGATTTTGAGGGAAACAGTAAGAATTCTAAGGTTTAACTCGACTGGATTTATGGCAATTTTGGCTTTTCTAATTTGCCCTGTGTCGGCTGTAGTTTTGTCAAATGTGTTGGTTAATCATTCCATTGTGAGAATGCTGTATATAAAGTTTTTGCTGGTTGCTAAGTCGAGTGGCCTTCCACTGAGGCCATTTGTTAAGCATTCTTGTCAAAAGTTTTCAGAGATAATTATTTCGGCTATAGTGTGCTTCCCTTTATATATTACATTGTCATTGCTGTCTAAAGCCGCTGTTGTGTACTCGGTGGATTGTACTTATGCCAAGAAGAGGTTTGATTCGTCCAAGTTTTACATAATAGTGAGAAAGATTTGGAGGCGTATTGTAGTGACTTATATGTGGGTTTGTGGGGTGATTGTTGGTTGTATCACATTGTTTTTTGTGCTCCTTTTTATTGTGAGTAACTCGTTTTTGGTAATGGGGTTTCCTTCAGACTTGATCCTGTATCCTGCCATGGTAGCGGGGCTAATTTTCTCCATCATTTTGGCGAATTCGATCATTGTTTGCAACATTGCTATTGTGATCTCTGTGTTGGAAGATGTTTCCGGTCGTCAAGCGTTGCTCAGGTCTAGTTCACTTGTTAAAGGGCAGACTGAAGTTGGTCTTTTGATATTTCTATTATCAACTATTGGGATGGCAATGGTAGAGGGGTTGTTTGAACATAGGGTGAAGACAATCAGTTATGGGGATGGTTCTTCAAGGGTATGGGAGGGACCCCTTTTGGTTTTAATGTATTCCTTTGTGGTGCTCATAGATTCTATGATGAGTGCTGTTTTCTACTTCAGCTGTAAATCGTTTAGCGCGGAAGCCTCAGCTTTAGAAAGTCAACCAGTTTTAGAAGCATTGACAATCTCCTTGGAATCAACAGGTCATCAACAAATCTGAGTGTAAAAGGGACATATACTCTTAGGAGCAGCAGGAATGAGATACACAGAAACTCAACATATTGTCTTTATTGGTGGGACCTCTTGCCGACGATCAGGGTAACAACCTTCTTCAGAAATTTACTTATTCCTGGAAAGCTCATAGGTTTATTTAGCTCTACATTGATGAAACATACCATAATGTTCTTAGTTTATTTACCTTTACAAAAAGGCAGGTCAAAGATAACTTCAGGAATTCCTTTTTAGGAGGAATTAGTTTTATCTTCGAGGAAATCTTAAAGATTTTAGTTGTAGAGTTAGTGTTATTCTTTGAAATACCATGAGATGAAATCTCCATACTATTTTGTTCACTTTTGTGTCAATCAAGTCTTCTGTTATGTCACAAAGCTATTATTAAGTTCTGCGTTAGGGAAATTATACTCCAATAAGGCGAAAAGGTTATTACTTGCTTGTATTTGGAATGACTATACCTTGCCACTTAATTCTAAAGTGGAATCAGAGTTTGCAATTTCTCCATGCCAGAGCACATTATTTTTGGTAATGATTTGAACGAGTATGATCTGTGTGACACCAAATATGGAATCCTGGCCACAACGGATCTGATGATAGTATCTAACTGGGCGTATAAGTTTTTAAGTATTATTTGAGTTTGGTCTCTGATTTATTATTTTCCCACTCTGATCTATGAGCTACTAAATTCTTCGACTTGTAATGCATGTTTTTCTCTAATCTATAATATGAGCAATGACATATCTTTTTTCCTGCTTTGGTGAGATGCTCATGCAAGCATCAATTTTGTTATACCAGTCCTAGCTTATCTGTCAGTTGAATTGCTCAAAGTTACACGAACAGGAGAAGACTTTAGACCTTGTGAGTTCTCTTGGTAGGAATGTACTGAGTGAACTAGACTTCCTATAAACTGCATGAGAATCACTAGAGATGTTCCCCTAATATGAGCTGATACAGTGCCGAGGTTAAGTGTGCATCTGGTACCTATAAAGTTCTGCAGACGCAAAGGAACTGTATTCCTTCAGCACATCTTGGGAACAGTTGCACATAACTGTGCAGATGAGTTTCATCTTTCTTGCAATTTTAGATGGTATAAAGATGAGGCCGGCGTTTATGTTTGCACTAATCACCTGTTTCCCCAAAACTGGAGTTCAATCTTTGTATTGGTATCTGGGGTCATCCCAGCTACTAGTTTTCTGCTATTTGAACTCTCACAGTGTCCCGGTTTACTTAACATAGAGAATCAGAAGTTGCAATATCCTCTAGTTGATGTTTTAGCAAATGTTTCCTTGCATGATGAAAGATGGAAAATTTTTGTAGAGAGAAGCAGATGTGCATGTTGTACAAGATTCACGCCCACGAGAGTGCAGATCAGTTCCATCAATTTTCGTTTACTACAATAGAGGAATGCTCCTTAATACTCCCTCCGCAACTAATAACGGTCTAGTTTAGGATTTTTTTTTAACACACAATTATAAGTACCTAGTCTAGTTTAGGATTGCACTTTTAAGTACGCACTTAAAGTAAAATTTTAAACTGGACTTTTTTAAAAATGAAATTCAAACGGAATAATCATTTTAAGGGAAAAGGAGAGTGTTAGCTGCGTGTATATTAGTTACGTTCTCAATAATGAACATGGTTCATTGCGGTATTTCATCATCATTAGAAAGTTTACCAAGCAAAAAAAAAGAAAGTAAAATTCATTAAAAAAAAATCTTTTATAAATGTTAACTAAAAAAGAAAAAGAAAAAAAAACCCCGTTTAAAAAGGGTACATAAGCGAATTTACAGATCTACCCTGTGGCAAGCAGGTATAAAGACATCTCCCGCTTCTTGTTTCTCGCTAGCTCTTTTATAATACTGACTGCGGTGACTCCGGCGCCGGTTTGTTCAACTTCCTCTACCTCTGAACCCTCATCTCGGGAATATTTCTGTTTCAGGTCAGCTCGATTGGCACTACCCTCCTTTTGTCTATTAATTTCCAATGGTTTTTCGATTCCCAGGTTTCTGCTTCCAGATTACTGTGCTGATTTCGAAGAGTTCCCCTGTCTGATATCCAATTTTTTGCTTCTATTTAGAAGTTAGTTTAGGTTTTTTTAGTGATTCTGAGACGTTAAGGGCGTTTAGATTTGGGAATTGTTCTGAAAGTTTTGAAAGAACGTCGAGTGGGTTTTACGTTCATAAACCCTCTCTCTTTATTTAAAAAAACTAATCTATTAGTAAAAAAATTGTGCTTCAGTTGATTAAACTCCGTTCAATTAGATATCAATGAGAAAGTGGTGACTAAGAAGAATTATTGTTAAATGCAGACTAATTTGTCGGATACCCGAGTCTTGAAAGAGCTTACGAATCTTACTTTATTTCTTCTAGACTGCTCTTTTTTACTTTGCAAAAAGATATCTTAAATGTGCTTTAAGAAACACATTAGGCAGTTCTGAGAGATATTTGTTTGCTGAATATATATACATTTAATAGGCTTGAAATGAATCGACAACGGCACGAAAAGATACTAAAATTCGAGGAATTTATTGATGGCCGCTTGAAGCCTGATCTGGTTCGTGCCATAGCTGAAAGGTATTCATATCTTTATTTGAATTTCTTGTTTTATTTACTTTTTTGGGTCAAATTTTCTACTTTCCCTAATGTTCAGACAGTAAATGAAAGGACTATCAAAATTGCTGTTCAAAATTATTTCAAGGGCTAGGAGAGGATCAACTGTTTCTCATTGTTATGTTTGTAAATCTTGAGAAAAATCTCATCGAAAGGGCAGAAAAAACTATAGATTGTAAACTTACTAGTTATAATGAAACTAAAATAGTTATATCTAGCCTGTTCTTCTTCCTCACCAGTCTCCTGCCCTCTACTCTTAACTGGAGCTCTTTTAGGCCATAATACTTCACAGTAACTTCAGATATTGGTGACAGTGCTCCTCCCTTGTGTCAATTAAATTTTTAATGCTCTTGTGTTTGTATTTGCAGGGATAAGGTTTTCGAACGACAGAAGATTTTGTATCCTTCTGTTTACCTTTGATTTTTAATCCCCAATAGCATATCTTTTAAACCTTAAATGGCATATTTGCTTATCCTTAACTCAAAAAATATAGCTCCGATCTTAAGAAGAATATAGAGAATCTGGAGAAGTATAATGTTACAAGTCTCAAGACAATGGTCAATCTCGGTTCTGAAGTTTACATGCAAGCTGATGTGTATGCCTCCTACGCACCTTGTAACTCATTGGTACTTGAATTTGTTTGTCATGAATAAGGCCACTGGTTTTCTAATCATCATCGAGCTTGCAAAGTACTTTGAAATGGTTTTGTAGCTTGTAAGAAGATTACCTTTTATTGCTTATGAGGACCGCTTTTTTCGAATGGACTGTTTACTTTTTCCTATGTGCAGGCCTGATACAAGGCACGTATTTGTAGATGTTGGACTTGGGTTTCATGTCGAATTTACCTGGTCTGAGGCATTGACTTATATAGCAGCGAAGGAGGAATCTTTAGATAGGTAATGCCCATCTCTGTATTGCAGTATGATACAAGTTTGTCATCTCTAAAATTAGTGAACTGAAGGTAAAACCATCTTTTCTCAGTCATTTCTTCTTTTCTTGTACAGGCAAATAGAAGAATATACTCGCACAATCGCCACCATTAAAGCCCAGATCAAGCTGGTATATGTTCTCTTATGCCCTATATAGTACTCTTATTCAATCCCGCTTCTTTGAAAATTAATCAGTCGCTAACAAACTCCTGGAGCATGCTCTTGAATGGAGTGTGTGTATATATATGTGTGTGTGTGTGTGTGTGTGTGTGTGTGTGTATATATGTATATATATCTTGAATGGAGCATTTGTTCAACTGTAACAATGTAATTCCTATGCCTGCCAAAGGAACGCCAGTAGCTGGAAACAACCATTAATCTTCAATGAAGATTTAACAGTTGGTCAAATATGATAATTTATCTTTGAAATATCAGCGCCTCCGATTTTGATGCTCATCGGCTGCTTGCAGGTATGCGGAGGTATTCGAGAGTTGCTGGATCTTCAAACTGAGGATTCTCAATGAAGTGTGGCAGCTCAGCTTCTTTGTTTAAGGAAGATGATTGTGAACGTGTGCAAACGTAGTCCTTCTAGCCAGATAGCCGAATTTTCCCTGATTATTTGGGGGCAGGATTTGATTATGTCAATATTTATTTAGTTATTTACCTCAAATTCGAGACTCATCCTTCTCCCATTTTGTTTGTTTGAATGTTTGGTGCCTTCTAAAGTAAGAAATGCAGAAATGGAATTTAATGTGGAATGTTAACTCAAGTGAAAAATAACAAAATAAAAAATAATCTGCAAGCTGAAAATAATGTAAAAGAATCTACAAATTCAGAAGAAGATATTAATAAGTTTAAAACACACTCAGTCATTGAAAAATAAATATATTTATGTAACAACAGTATACACAATTCTAACTGAGGCTCCAATCGTGAAGGCTGCAGCTGGTTGGGCACATTGTGCAACTGTTTCAGGTACTTGTCCGTGATTTTTTTTTCCCAACATCTAATATGACTTCTGGAGCTTTGACATTGCACACGTTTCCTCTTTCTGTTCGAAAAGCTACATTTACAAATTCTTATTGTTAACTTTCAGATCAAGGTCATGTGTATACATGGGGGCTGGAAAGAATGTGTTCCATCTGGTACAATTTCCCGTAATTTTGTTGCCGGGGTAACAGGTGAAGGTGAGGCTCCAGAGAAGCAAATTTCAGTGTTGACCGAGCAAGGTAATATGAGGATATTCTGCAGTTTCAGCTCAAAAACGTTTAGTGTCACATATCAGCTCAAAAACAATTATGAGCCCACGGTCTCCAAGGACAAAATCTCATCCAGATAACACGACATCTGAAGGGGAACAGGCCAAGCGAAGGAGAACATCATCTGCAAAATCAGAGTTCATCCCTGCGGATAATTTCTTCTTCCTGACTAAAGATTTTACTAAGTTTCAACTGACAAAAATTTCTTCTGTGCCGCGAAAAGTTCCAACCTAAGCACACTTCTTGAAATCACATGATTGGCGAAATCATTTTTGAAATTACAGGATAGTCTGATGATTGGCTAAAGAGAAACAAATTATGTTACAAGTGAACTGAAGAATGATAATAAACAACATATAACCAAAAATGGAACTATTCTGTTACATTAAAACACAGTTTAGCTTCGTCCCAAGGACCATTAATCTCAAACTTGTACTCCTGAATTCTAATTAGCCAATAAGGACAGATCAAATTCACTAAAGCCAAAATGACAAACAAAAACATGAAAAGTAATCTATGTAAATTATATACCAAAATCAATGTCAATGATATTAAGCTCAAAGAGAGACCGAGATGCAGCCGGAAAGAGTATTTCCTAATGCAATATATGACAAGGGGAGCAAAGAGGAAAACTTGCAAGGAGAAGAGCATAATAGCAAAGACATGAAATCTCGACGGAAGGCGAGAAGCAATTAAAACTGAAGCCACAATAGAAGCATTTAAAGAAATGTTGCTTGTAAATGCTGGATTTTCCAAGGTCCCGGGAGCTTTTACTGTTGATCCAGTGTAGTCATGCAAGAACAGATGGAGTATGATAAGTGAAGTCGTAAGAGCCCAAATGGAGTCTGAACTTATAGAACGCGTGAGTGTATGGTAAATAGGGGATAGAAGATATAAACCCATGATGAAGAAGGAAATTTTGCGCAAGTAACTAAGAAGGAGGTCCAAAGAGAGCATCTCTGCAGTGAAAATAAGAATGAGAAAACCTGATCCAAGAACAGCAACATCAAGAAGCAACAGATAATCTCCTTTCAGTGTAGACCTGAGTGTGTACGTCCACACCAAAACCACAAGAGCAACAATGCAAAGATACTGAGAGATCGAAACTGAATCAAGCATCACCTTTAGCAAGTCCCTTCTAACTACATTGGCATTCATAATCATATCTTCTAAAAAGGAGTCATCAGTGTTTGTCTTCAAACCCAGGCTGCATCCCTCCATAAGCAATTTTTTTCCATTTAGGTTTTAGTGCAGAGTAGTTTCCAACTTGCGCACTATTTTCCATTTCTATTTAAACACCATAGACTCCATCCAATCAATAACAAATTTTGTCACCATAATTTATTCTCTAAGGAATACTTCTATGACAACGGCAAGTTAAAAGTGTGAAAATTCATCAACTCACTTTACTGATTATCTGTTTAAATCCTTCCGCTCACACAGCAACGTTATTAAGTGGCGATCTAATGAACTAAAAGGATCTTGCCCAAAAGCGCCAACTTTTATTAGCCAACTTTACCCTAATCTTTGAAATTTTCGCCAATTTCGTCCAATCGATCCATTTTCCGTCCAAATTAACGGATCTCCATTAGTTTTTTAATAAAATAATAATTTTAAATACAAAAACACGTAATAATTTTTTAAAATTTTAAAAATAACCTCTAAAATATATAAAAATAACAAAATAGTCACTTTTCACTTTTTTATTTCATTTTTCTCTATTTTGTTCCATTTCTCTCAACTACCTTTAATAACTATAAAAGTATATTATATGAGTTTTAAAAAATATTTATTTATTTTCAAACTCTACCGTAAAAATTAATTTTTGTATCGTTATAACACATGATTGTATTTATATAAGCATGTTAATCTTTTTAATAATATAGTTTAGTAATAAAAACACTATGTTTTAGATTTATTTTATTCTTCCTAACATAAAGATTAAAAATATTTAATTGAAACTAATATTCCACATAAAAATAAAATATCAGCTCAAATAAAAAATAATATATTAGTGTAGTTTAGTGTATTACAATTTAACTAGAGAGACTACATGGCATAATATAATTTATAAAAAAATGTTTATACTTATCAATGCGAGAACTTAACATTTTGTAATAATTATTTGAGATATTAATATATCTTATTATAGAGGAAGTCTTACTAGCTTATTCTATATGATTTTAGTTTAAAATAAATGAATGGAGGTAACAATATAGTAATAAGTTGTTGTGATAGAAAATAGGTTTTAGATTCAAGAAGGAAAACTTATGTTTGGAGGATTTTTTTTTAAGGTTTTAATTATTTTATATTTTAGTTATTTTTTTATGAATTATATTAATGCAAGTTATAGTCTCTTGAGTTAAATTGTAATACACTAAAATATATTAATCTTTTTTTATTTGAGCTAATATTTTATTTTTATGTGGAATATTAGTTTCATTTAAATATTTTTAATCATTACGTTGGGAAAAATAAAATAAATCAGAAAAATAGTGCCTTAATTGTTTTATATTTAAGTTTTTTTTTTTAATGAATTATATTAATACAAGTTATAGTCTCTTGAGTGAAATTGTAATACACTAAAATATATTAATTTTTTTTTTATTTGAGCTAATATTTTATTTTTATGTGGAATATTAGTTTCATTTAAATGTTTTTAATCTTTATGTTAGGAAGAATAAAATAAATCATAAAAATAGTGTTTGTATTGCTAAACTATATTATTAAAAAAATTAACATACTTATATAAATACAATCATGGGTTACAACTATACAAAGATTAATTTTTACAGTAGAGTTTGAAAATAAATAAATATTTTTTTAAAACTCATATAATAGACTTTTATGGTCATTAAAAGTAGTATAGAGAAATTGAAGAAGATAGAGAAAAATAAAATAAAAAAGTGAAAAGAGACTGTTTTGTTATTTTTATAAATTTTAGGGGTTATTTTTAAAAATTTTTAAAATTATTGGGGTATTTTTGTTATTAAATTTATTATTTATTAAAAAACTAACGGAGATCCGTTAATTTAGACGGAAAATGTACCGATTGGACGAAATTAGCAAAAATTTCAAACATTAGGATAAAATTGACTAACTGAAAATCTATTAAGTATAATTAACGATAAGGACAAAGATTTGGGTAGGAACGATATTTTTTCATCGATTTTGCGTTCTTCGTCCTGAAAGGCTGAATCTGTTGGCTATTTGATTATGGCAAGACGGTGTCGTCTTGTTCCGGAGAAAATTAAGACCCCGGTTTTTCTTTGTCGGGGGTTTACAGTTTACACCGGTTTTTTCTTTCGTTTTGGATTAAGACACCGGTTTTCCCCGGTTCATGAGAAGGGAGGGAAGCATAATATCGTCTTAGGTTTCTGACTCCCGCCAGAACCTCTGTTCTTGTCTTTTGGTTCGCCGGGAAGACTTGGCCACCGGAGATACTCTAACTGGCATTCCATTTTGATTACAACTCCCACAGTTCACATTTCGCCAAAGGTTTGCCTTCACACTCGCTTTACTGGTTTATAAGTAGTAGTATTTTTTCTCAACTAAATTGCTATAATTATCAGAAACGGCGGTAGCTAATCAACAACACAACTGCTCGACCGATTATGTTTCGGCCCTCTTTTTGAATATTCAATCTTAATTCAATAATTTCTTTGTTAAAATCCCTGCAGATTCGACTAGATTCTTGTGTTGTAGTAATTGTTTTTTTTTTCCCTGTTGTTATGTAGGAAATAAAGGGTCCATGGCTCAGTCAGGAAATGCTGATGAAACTCGGGTTTTCATTGCCCCAGGTAATAGGCATTTATGTTCTTGTTTATCGACGATGATAATTTTTGTTTTAATTCGGTGGTTCTTGTTCCAACCCCAAGAGGTCAAGTTTAAGAGATAAAAATAGTTCTTTTTTGAACATTTCTGTGTGATTGGTGGCTGCTAATGCGGTACCTTTTGTACCCAACCAACTTCTTTACTTTGTAATTGGATGGGGCTTATTAACTTCAAATGCTTATACCCCGAGCAAATGAGTGTTTTCCCTAATGATGTTTGTTTGCTTCCCCTAAAAGCTTGTGAATTTTGACAAATGCAGACAATGTTACTTATGGGGATGGACGGGGAAGCTTCCTATCTCTTAAGCATCCCAAGTCTGGTAATCTTACAAGCTCTTGATATTTTCCTCTCTTTTCCTTTTTTGTTGTTCGATAAGATCTTAAATCTTTGAAATAACTATTTGGGTCTCCAGAAAGATTGAATTTTCGTTTATTTGCTTGTTAATTATCTCCGTTGCTACTATAGTCTTAATTTTTTTTTCTGTTGATGTTTTCTTGTTTCTGTAACAGGTAATAAAGCATGTTACCTCTATGCTGACGGCGGTCTTCTAGAAATTAACTGGTTTAAGCAATCTTATGGGTCCTGGTTCTTGGGAGATTATGTTTGTGAAGGTAAACTCAAAATACGACGAGAATTTGTGGAGAACAACATGAAGTCATTGCCAAGATTTTTTGGCAGTTAGGCAGAAAACAAGACATCAGATGTTACCTTTTAGAAATGCATAATTGGGATACCCAACTATTCCTTTTATGATGTATCTTCTCCATTGTAACAGATGGTCGATTATATACTGCCACTCCAGTAGATCCAATTTTCATTCTGCTGCCACTTTTTGAGGAAGCGCGAATGCAGGTCATGTACATTTGGCTCGGTCTTAGTGTTTTGAAATTACAAGTCTGTTCCTTCTTTTGTCTCATTTATTTATTTTTTGTTCAACCTGTTAATTACTCATTCAAAGATATCGGGGAAATCGAAAAGATTAAAATCTGTTCGTACCTCGTGGAAAGGACTGATGCAATAGTAGTGTTACTCAATGCGTTTTGTGACTGTATTATCTTCTACCGAGATTCCATAATGCTTGTATGAAGAAGCTACTCCTCCTGTTAACTTTTGGGTGTGTGTCTCATTTGTTGTTCATAATGCTTGCAGAAAGAGGGCGATCCAGGAAAGTTCAGGCAGTTGGATGAGATTATGTATATTCCAGGATATCCTGGATATCAACAACTGTTATCTATTGCGGAGAATTCAATGCAAATAGTCTGTGACTTTAAAGGTGATTAAGTCCTTTTGCATGGATTTAGCTCTTAGTGTACCCGTTCTAGTACATTTCACTAAAAATGGATTTGAGCTTACCCACTGGAGCATTTCATTATTAAAGACATTGCATTTTCAGCATTGAAGGGGTTAATCACAGGGCGCGGCACTCACTTTCTTGCAAGTTGTACATAATGATATGTTGCACATAATTTTGTTGAACTGTTTAAGTTTCATTTTTGGTTCTTTTCCGTGGGAATCTTGTATTTCATCTAGCATTTTACATAATCTTCCTTTTAATGATCCTTCCCTTACGGCAGAAATTGGAGCCACGAAGTTTGTCAGGCTTAATGACGCAAAGGTGTTGAGGTGGTTGCTATATAAGGTCAGTTTCATTGGTTTCAGATATTCAACGGTGTTTGTTTTCTACATTACAATACAAAAAGTTATCTGTTTTCTACTTTACAGAATTTCCTTGTTTTGAAACAACTCCATATCTGTATGGTCTTGCAATCTGTAGGTGCACCAGTTAAGGCAGGTTCTGCCAACATTGGATAAGAACTTTGCTGCTCAAACTGAGAAAGCTGCATGTAAGTTCTCCTTTGGAAACCTCGTACTCTAAAACTTAATAATGATGATACACTTTACAGAAGGCTTGACCTTGGTGATTCAGAGAACGTGTAGCGTTTTTGTATATTTTTATCCCTCTGATGTTTTATTCAAACGTCTTACTTCTCAAGCTATACAATTAATAAGCTTGTTTGGGACAGTAACAGATGCAGTCTCAATTATGGGTGAATACCTGAAAGAAGAGCCATGGTTGGAGCTTCTGTGCAGCAAATTAAAGTACTACCTCTCGACATATCACTGTGTATATCTTTTGTTTTTTTTGTTTTGGTGAATCGTGTTTTAAATCTTGGAGTTAATGATAATAGCATTTCTTATTTCATCCAATGAATATTTATGAAAAAGTATGTAAGTTTTTGGTAATGGTTACCAAGAAATCAGGGTTCTCACTGGTTCAGGCTTTCAGTTTAGAGATTGTGGGAAAAATATGTCACCTCTGCGGCATGTGGTAGCCAACCAAATCTTCTAAAGCTGCATAGTTTTGCTCTTTTTGGCAACTTCATTAAGTAATGCTGCTGCTATAATAGTTTAAGTTCAAAAGAAATCTTTTCATAAAGTTTAACTGTTGAAAGAACCCATTGCCTAAGTTTTAGGTTAAAAGGCTGTTCATCTTCTTTAATATAGCTGGTTAGCTTTCCAGATGTAATGAATTTCTGGGTTGAATTATGAAGTCTTTGCCAGAAACACTGGACTTGACCTTAGAAAGCCGTCCATTTCTTTCCCAAAGAAGTTCTATGAATTAATTATCTAGAATGAGGAATCAGCATGGTAAAATGGGGGACCTGCTCCTTCAAGGATATCTTCCTTTGCCATTTAGATCTGGCATTGGGATGAAAAAATATTACTACTGTTGCAATAACTAAGATGAGAATCTAAGCTTGCCTTTTTCTTTGTTAAAAAAGTTGATGATTGACAGTATTGTATTTTCAGGTTGAGCTTAGAAGATGAAGTGAGAGCACCAGCAAATGATGTTCTTCCATCCACCGACAGTGGTGTTGCATCATTTAGTACTACGCAGGTACTAAAAGCCATGTAAATTTCATTAATATCCTCATGTATACTTTCAGCAACAAATAAAGTTTGCTGTTCTTTGTTAGACCTATAAAACATTTCTAACAAATTCTTGTTGATGCCTACTCCCTCCATTCACAAATAGATGTCGCTGGAGAGATTTCACAAAGTTTAAGGAAGTAATAATTATCTTGTTAAAATACTATAATACCCTCATTTATTCTTAATTCAATTGTAGTCCCAATAAAATTCACTTCTAATACAATTCTACATTAAACATCACAACAATTTCCAATGTAAGGGTGATATTGGAAAAAATTGACAAAATATGCCTCGATTTGTGAGAACGACATCTATTTTGGAATATTTGGATTTTCCTCCAACGACATCTATTTGTGAATGGAGGGAGTATTAAACATTTTTTTTACATAGTATCACCAGCAATATGTCTTTTGCAATTTGGTATGTGAGTGAATGGTTAGTTCCTTTTGCGAACCTGACCATCTCATCCAATACTTGGTTTGAGTAGCTGAAATGATCTATTTGGTAAGAAGAGAGAATAATAGTTGAATCTTTTGGATACACAGGGAACTTGAATGGGTTAGGAGGATTAATAGATCTTCAGCTTCATGATTTATGGTTGGTCAGGTTACTTATATGAGATTTCGCTTTTATTTGTGATTTTTTCAGGAGAAAAATGGGGCTGAGAAGAAAAATGCTAGAGCTGGAAGGCAAACAAAAAAGGCCAAAGTAGAGACAGACAGTAAAAATATCAAAGACATGTTCAGCAGGGTTTTGAGAAAGAGAGGCTGAATTCTGCCACAGAATGAGCTTGCAGTTGCAGAAATGCACCTGCCACGGCAAAGTAGGAGATGTTCAAACTTCAAACCATTTGCAAGTAGCCAAATTTGGCTTTCTGAATGATTGATCCTGCAAGATAGATGCCGCTTTTCTCCATGGCCAAGTGCTGTAAATCCTGCTTCTGTGTAAGTGTACAAGCCGTGGTTGGTCGACATCTTTTGCTCGCAATTGCAAGTCCATTTAATTTCGGATTCGAGGGTGGTATTCCTTGATTACTGTATTCTAGTATGTAGATTTCTGTTTGCCAGTTACTGCTTCTCAATTTACATGATGATACTACGATACACATAATGAGTTCATCAAATAAAAGACCATTTGGTAGCCCTCCACATTTTTGGTCGAGGACTCCAGGTAAAGAGTTCTCTTCATTTGCATCCTGGGTAGTGGGTATCATAACTTTGTTCAACATTTTTTTTTTTTTAACAAAAAGGAAAAGGATAGAAAGAAAATGGGTGGAAAAAATTTATACCATTAGTTTGCCTTTTAACTACATACTTGGTCCTAATTATAAGGTATAAATTAGCACTAAAGTTAATTAAAATTTGTACCTTATGATTGGGACCGAAAGAGAGTATAGTATTATTTCATTGAAAAGCAATTTTTGTGTGTCCTCTCTTTTTCTTTTTCTTTTTTTTGCTAAAAATGTTCACAGGGTAAATAGAACTTTTTAATATGTTTTGAAATTATAAATTTAAAAAGAGAAAGGAAAAGAAAAAAGGAAATTACCCATATGGTCCAATCTGTAGAAATGCAAACAGTAAAAAATAAGTAGTCAGAAAATATTAACAGAAGGCGACTGGGGGGGAGACCTGAGGCAAGTGCAGAAAGATAACGACACTACAAATCAATCAATCAATGATTGAGATTGATGCCACCCTGGCAACAACCAACAGCAAGATAATGACACGTGTACAGGATTTTGCTGGTGCACGAATCTTACCGTGCCCGTTTAACTATCCTATCAGTCCGATCGATGGTGATTTACGTATTTCTTTTTTGTTTGGGTGGGCCTCATGGAATGAGAGCCGTTTATTTATTTCATCAAGACAAAGTTCTGCGAAATGATACCAGAATTGGCCCACACTAAGTAGCTAATGAGTTGGACTGGACTAGACTTACCCATTTGACTGTAGTGACAACATATACAACAAAAGGAACATCCCGTTTAGTGGGCCGTTTCTGGTCCGATTGTGACTAAACGGCCCGTACCAGATTCTTTGAGATGTACTATTGAAATATATATATATAAAAAAAAAAGACACAAAGAAAAACAATTCCACAAGCACCACTCCTTACATTTTCTTCTCTTTTTTAATTCTCAAAAGCTTTTAAATTTTCTCTGCAGTTCGTCCCAAAATTGTTTGTTATGTATCGATAAGAGTTTACAATATATTCAGAAGATGAATGTATATAATTTTAATAATTGAACGATTCAGTTAATAATCTTACAGTTACCGTCATTCATATATAAACGCTTCTAGTGATCCATGGGGCTGTATTAACCATAATGTTCTGCGCGTGCCAATGAGATATAACAGCTGACATTGTGCTTGGGGAACAATAAAATTACTAAGCCAGGAGCTCTTTCTCCATCCATTATTGCGTGCAGGAGTTGCTTAAAATGGTCAGCTTTTGGGGCAGAGAAGGCAAGATGGATATTGAATTGTCTTAAATTTACGTACCCTTTTTAACAACAAAAGGCTGGTGAGTTTTGAAAATGACAGTGGGGATGCATGAGAGAACATGCACATGTATTTATTTAAAAAGAATTGATGACAAAATGGGAATTGGATTTGGAATGGAGACAGATATATTATTATTTGGATAGTCAGAAACCAACCCTGATCAGTTCAAACTTTACTTTCAGTCCCTACTTCTCTTGGCTTTGATCCCCCCCATCTCTGTTTTTTCTTCTCCCGTTTTCATGTAATTTTCAATTCTTATTAAGTACTACTAGTACTTGCATTAAATTGTTGTTGGGTCGTCATCAACTGGTTAAAAAAATATGTCTTCTTTTAAACAAGTCTCGAGTTTGAATATGTGTATGAACAAATAACTGTTGAGAGACTTTTACACTCTTTCAAAATTAATTAACAGTTTACCCCAATCAAAATAGGTATTAATCTGAGTGTAATATGTGCATACCTATAATTGCATCACAGCTCCTGTATGGAAACAAATCGTGTATAATATAATTATGTATCCATTAAAAAAAACTTGGGATGCTAAAAATGTTTGGAAAACCAACTCTCAGGGACTAAAATTGTGATATATCCATAAAGTCACCATTGACTGTGATTGTTGACTATTTTTAATGTCATTCTTTTCTAGATAGCTGACATTCTGACATTATACTACTACTACTCTAGACTTTAAGTCACATTGACACATACGAATGTACTGTTACATTATTATATGCACACAGCTTTCAATACTGATGGAGAGAACTTTTTTTAATTACTGAACTGAACTGTTCTCAAATACCATCATCAATAATCTACCTCAATATTGCTTCTCAATGTTTGCCAAATCCATGGAGGAAACCACAGGTATTGCAGATTAGCCCCCTCCATCCATCCCTTTCGAGTTATTGTATAGATATGGAGATTTGTGTCCTTTCCCTTACGTGATGATTCACTGGTTCTTCTTCTAAACTATTAATGCATGCATGAGGAGCCACAGCCCAGAGGCCAGAGTATTTATTTTACCGTCTCTTTCTGTACTCATATATTGGCTCATTTAAAAGAGAGATGCAGTACTTGTGTAGTTCAGTGGTTTTATCTCTTCCCATGAAAAGGGCCGTTTCACCTTTTTCCCCCCTTTGCTCTTATAAATTTTTAATTTGTCTGTTTCTATGTTCTTCTTGCTTGGGTATCTCTGAACTCCCAAGTGACAATGAAATAGTTAAAGATTCTTTACCAAATAGTAAAACACATTGTGGTTGACAGTGCTCCTGCCGGCATGAAGAGTTGTCAAAGTGTGATTTTTCTGGGTTCTTTTTTTTTTTTTGTTTTGGTTGTAAATTGTTATTGAGTTAATTGACTGACATATGGATTTTGCAGTATGAATTCTTCATCCTACCATGTGTTTTTGGCTGGCTCTATGCATTTGAAAGAAGGTGGTTGTGTCACTTGTCATGAATGATTCTTTTGAAATGAAAGCACACCTAAAAACAGAAAGTACATTATTCAAGATCAATTATGACACTGTCATTTTCTTTGATTCTCTATTTTGGTCACTTGTCTCAAGAATTAGGTGTTGATAGCAATTGTGGTCCAAACCAAATCCTTATTAACCATAATATAGTACTTAAAAATCGATTTGATTTGATATGATTAATGAAGAGATGGATAACAATTTAACCCGTATCAGCAATTCTGCACAGAGACAATGGAAGCTGCAATAAATCTTCAGGCCATGTTTATGTCAATGTTTGTCACTTTCTCTTATTTAAAAACTACAATATACAACGGTGGGTGAAATGTTGCAGTAACCGATGAATGATCCACTAAATGCTAACAATCTGAGGCCATTGAAATGAAAATTATGAGCTAAATGGTATTTACAAAGAAAGATTGATTATTAAGGTCATCTTCTAGCAGTAAAACATGAGCTTCTTGATGTGTTCAGGGAGACTAGGAAGAGGAGTAGCCGCTAGTGGAGTGGCTCGGGAAATGGTAGAAACGCCTCTGCTACATGAGGTTGAATCTGAGCGCTCAAGATAGAGTCTGCCTCTGTATGCTGCAAGATGAGCATAATAAGCTGGAGGCACCATAGATATAGGCTTTGTGCACCTCACAAATGTGTAGCAAAGATTGTAAACCAGCTTTTGCAACTCATCAGATGTAAAATGGTTATCATCCCACAATACGTGATAGTGAATCGGGCGGCTTGTACCCTTTACTCCCCAGTGGCTACACAGGTAGAAATCAAATTCTCTCGGATGAGTGATGACAGTGTCCACAACTGTTCCGGGAGGTACATTAGCATCATGGAAATGTCTTTGAGATGAGGGATCACTTCCATCAGGAAACAACCTTGTGTGATGCCTTTTCTGAACGACCACGAAAGTTACTGGAGGTTTATAACCTGGAAATGTAGAACAGGCGACGCGAATCGCTTGCAGCTCCTCCTCTAGCACTTTGTAGAACTGTGTTTCACTCACACCATCTCTGAAAAAGATGATTCTTTCAGGGAGTTTAGATACTTCTTCAAAGAAGTCATTCAAAATTTCACTCACCATCGCACTAAGGTCTTGTATGATTTCTTCTCTATGTTTCTGTGACCTCATTCTCGAAACATACTTGTTTGCTGCGGGCCAGTTTATACTACCAACCACAGCAGCCACTGAGGGACTGTAATCATCTAATGGATGAGGATGCGTAACATCAGCACCCATAAAGATCACTGGCTCATCAGATCTCAGAATTCGTGGAATCTGAGAAGGCAAAGAGTTGTATAATGCAACAGTGGATCCACCAACTTTCGCATTGATCTTTAGAGCAATGTTTGCCAAAAACTGGGAATTAAGTTTGGCAAGGTTTGTGTACAAACAACACTGGCTTACAATCCCAATACCTGTCTCAGCAATTCGTTTCAAGTCGGCATATCCTTTGTGTTTTCTTTCCATAATGCAGATGAGGAGCTGGAGACTGTTAGATGCAGTTTTTTGAATTTTGTTGAGTTTAGACTCCAAGAGCTTCACATTGTTGAGCAAATTCATTGATTCAAATTGAGGACCAACGACTGCATTTCTGTTGAAAAAGATGCCCAATTGCCCACACCTTTGAGAGAGCTGATTAATGAACTTGGTAATGTTAGATTTTTGTTCAGGGCTTCCACCAAAACATAAAAGCGCCCACCGATCAATTCTTGTGCCTTCAAGGACATGGCTGTCCAACAAATTCCATTGCCTATCGTGTCGAGAAGGGATGAGATTTCTCACATAACCCCCATCCCCAAGTTTAAGCTTTGGAGGCTGAAGTATTCTTCCATTTAATTTTGTCATTTCTGTCGAGATTTCAAGCTTGAACTCTTTCCCGTGATTGCCACTGAGAAAATAGATAAGTTATTTTAATGTAAATCAGTGATAGATAGATAACCGGATCAGAAAGAAGAAGTGCCAACACAATGCATCTACTGAAATTACCTGATCGGCCCAACTGGTCCTGCCATCACTTCTTTGATGATCGCTTTTCGTTCTTTAGGCCTTTGACACCCCATGTTAAGAATTTTTGCAGTTTGGTCATCAGAGAGCTTCCCGAGAAACTTCTGTCCTTCACAAATCACACAAAGCTCCATAGGGAGATAACATTTTTTCCTCCTGCTCACCAGCAAGCATGGCAAGTTCTTGAACTGTATGTCATAATTGTAATGTTCCTTGTAATAATCCACCAGTTTGAGATCCGTCCCATCTCTATCAGGAAACCAGAGATCTTCGGTTACTTTTTCTGTCAAGCTGTAAACTTTATATCTTTGTACAGTTTCTCTATGTCGAACAAACACCCTGAGGTTTTTCAGTGTCTTCTCCACTTCTTTCCTTTCTTCACTAGTCAAACCTCTACTTTCGTTATGAGATAGATCATGAAGAAAATTAAGGCGCTTTTGCAAGTAGGGAATCACCCCAATGCTCTCATGAAAAGCTGTCACAGAAAAATCCACATTAAGAGCTAGCCCTTGTTGAGTCGGTTTTAGACTTTGAAAAAATCCCCTTAATGCAACAGCACCTCCTCCAATCTCCTTTGATCCTCCCATGGCATTGGAGTAAAAAGATCGTCCAACGTTCAGGCATTTCTCCATCGGATTTTCCCTCAGGACTACTTCCAAAGCATGAAGATATTCCTGAGGAAGGGGAGTTCCATCATCCCTATCTTTATTCAGAAAGCTCCCCAGTTCTTTTCCATCAAACTTGGACACAAGCTTGATGTTTACTTTGAAAAGCTTATTAAGTTGCTGTGTCTTTTCATGAGAATTGACTGTTTCCCCAACTGATGATGATGATGACTTTCCATTAGAAAGCGGAAGCCTAATGTAAACTTCAAGCCTGTCAGCTTGGAATTCAACAGGGCTATATAAATTCCTTCTACCATCATAAACAGGAAGGGAATCTGAGAGATCAGCTGAATTCTCCAGCACAAGTTGTTGCTTAATCATTCTTGCAACATCTTTGGATGGGTTTGGAGAGATTTCAACGTCATAATGGAAGATTTTCTGTGAAGGATCAAATTGGACATGGAAATGGTTGGCAAGGAGAGATATAACCGTCCCTTCCACCCCACCAGAATCAGGTCTTCTTGCCACCATTCCTGACTGTTGAGTAGCTGCTGTAATTCGCCTTCCTTCTCTCTTCCCAGAAAGCACACCATTTGGCCTTTGGGTCACTTTAGCTGCTTCATTAAAATAGTAAAACAGCTCAAATTAAAGTTGTTTTTTGGGTAACAACAAAATTTTATTCCATCAAACAGTTCTACACTGGGAATACATGGAACAGTAAAATTCTTAAGACATATTTCAAAAATTCCTGTTGAAAAAATTTTACTCTCTCACTAGTCTTTTTAAGATAGAACGAACATAACATACACCATTTCCATCCTTGGATTATTTAATGAAAACACGACCCAGAAAAGGTATTCATTCATCCTCTGTTAAAAATTCAATCTTTGGAAGCATTCAAAACCCAGCGCAGAAACCAAAGAGAAGACTCAAAACCAATGTGACATAAAAGATGTGCCTTTGTAATTAATCTTAACATCATAAAGCTAAAAAGTGAACATGCAAATTCAAATACTAATGGGTCAAACAGTACAATATCGAAACCCAAAAAAAAAGACAAACAGACAGCAAGAAGAAGAATCGAATACTTGAATGTGAAAAAAAAAAAAAAAAAAAACGCACACACACATACACACAAAAAGAAAAGACGCTGGGGGCATTGTAGCTAATACTACCTGGTGCAATAGAGATATCTTGGGCCTGGGAATTAGAGGGAGCTGCAAGAGGAGGATTCCTCTGCTTCCTACAAGGCGGTTTCTGGGGTTGGGATTTCGGTAAGCAGTTCTGGTTTTGTGGGAAAGGTGGATTAGTGCCCAAGTTTAGAGGTATTGTGGGAGGCAAAGGAAGCAGAGGAGGATAAGTCTGAATCTGGTACAGATTCTGGTTATAGTATCCAAAAGCATTCCTGTTCGATTGATGAACTAGCTGGTGATGATGGTGGTGGTAGTGATGAAACTGCCACTGTTGCTGCTGATAATGATGATGAAGAAGAAGATGGTGGTTGTTAACATGATGATTATTAGTAGTTCCATTCCTTCCCCTTGAACTGGTTTTTGGGATGCATTTTTTGTGTCTATTGGATTCTTCAGTTTCTTGTTCCATGGTGGATTTAGAGAGAATGAGAGACAAAAAGGAGAGATAGAAAGAGAGAGAGAAGAAGGAAGAGTTGGCAAAGAGGATATCTTTGCATGAGAAAGACAAAAAGATATATGGAGTCTGTTTCTTCTGTGTTTCTGATATCAGTGAATAAAAAAGTTGCTGTAGCAGCAGAACAGAAACTTGTAGTTATTGCAGAGAGAGAAAGAGAAGAAGAAAGGACCAGTTTTTCTCTTTTTTTGTTTTTCCTTGGGGAACTAGGGAAGTGGGAAACAGGGTTCTAGCCTTCTAGCCTGTGTTTTCCCAGTGTCCAGTCTCTCAAATGAGGTGTTTTTTTTCCTTCTTTTGCAGGTGAATATTGTTCAATGGGCAAAAAGGTGTGCTTGGCCTAATAAACCTTCATGCTTTAGACATGTGAAGATTTTGGAGTATTTAAACTAATCTATGAGCGAAGAGATTAATCGCTGTATTTACTGATAACAAGAAACTAATCCATATTTATGCATAATTTCAATATTATTCTCAAGTCGTATTTTGTGTTTATCGATGAGTGGTCATCGCGTTTTTTGTATTAACAACATAGGGAATATCTTCATGAAATGGACTTATTATGTAACACACTGAATGTGAATGGTGCCAATAGGATTGGAATGACTGATGAGTATCACCTTAACACCTGATTTAAATGCATGGTTTTTGATTTCTGAAGAACCTTTGACCTGCTTGATTTATTATTAATGGGAAGGCTATAGGTTTTAGCCTTTTCTCCTTCAACCTTTTTCTTTCCTCCTTTCTTTCTTTCTTTCTTATTAGTCAAATGAGGAAGAAAAGAAAAGGGGGCCAAAAAGTCTGATCAATTTGGTTTGAGAAAATTAAGGCCGGTTAGTTAGTTAAAGCAGCAGCAAAGATATGATGTTCTACTTATGAATTGGGTTGTTTGGTAGAATTAATTAGTACTAATTAATCTGATTAAACCCCGCAAATTATGATGATGATATTGATTGACCTTTTTGGTAAACTTATTAAAAAAAAAGTCCCTATAATTTTTTTATTTTTGTAATCAGGCGTTGAATGCTGAGATTAGCATTGTTTTAATCTTCGTCATCAACATATGGGTATGGCCCCCCTCCTTGATTTTTTTAAGGTTATAAATATCAAATCATAGTTTAGTTCGTCTTAGTTGTAAATGATGTAGATGGATCACAAATGCAGGCAGGCGTGCCATTTTTGTACATTTTGAAGTGTTTCTTTCACTTTATTAATGCAACAATGCAAGTTGGCAACTACATAGATATAATTTGTTATTAGGTTTATTATGTACTAATCGCGTTTAAGTTGTACTCATCCGATCCTTAATATAAAATATTTTAATTTGTCATAAGTTTCAAAGTAGTACATATTTTTAATTGACAAAAAACCTTAAAAATATTTCTTAATAATCGAGATAACCAAACGAATTTGAAAATATATTTTTAAATTTTTTTTCCGATTAAAAATACATATTAGATGAAATCTATGACAAATCAAAATATCTTATATTAAGGACCGAGAGAGTATCACTTTTTGACCCAAAAAAGTGATTCACGTTAACTTTTGAGATCTGTATTGTTTTTATGTGAATTATTTTTTAATGACAGAGGGAGTAAAACAAAAAATTTATCTCGTTTATAAATATTGGTATATCTCCTAATATTGGTAAGTACTGCCTATGCAAAACTTGAGGTCCCAAGAGGTCTAAGGTTCAAACCCCGCCAGGAGCACTTTAAGTGCTGCCTATGTAGGCTTGCAACCCAGGAAGGTGCATAACAAAGGCGTGCATGTGTGGAGTCTCTCCCTAGTTATAATGGTATATTAAAAAAAAAAAAGGTCAATTTTATAAATGGGATAAACAATTTTCATTTGCAAATTACACGTCACCAATTAAATAGGTAGATTCATTCATTACTAGCAAGTGTGTTTGAATTAATTTTCCCTTTTTTCCTCATCATAAGAATAAGAGTCTTCCACATAAATCATAAAATTGTCCCATATTACTGCCCTAAATTCATTTAAATGAATAAGGTCATTTTATAAATGGGATAAAATTGTCACATAAATTTTTAAAAAATAAAAAATGATACATACCAGAGTTTCTCAGCAGTAATGGAGAATGTGAAACACCAAAAACAATAAACACCAAAAACAATACTCCCTCCATTCCAAAATAAGTGTCGTTTTAGCAAAATGGAGAAATTTCAAAATAAGTGTCGTTTTCACATTTCAATGCACTTTTGTCAAAAGTTTCCAAAATTACCCTCAAAAGAGTTGATGCTATTGGTGGACAATTTTATAATGGGGTTGGTTGAGGATATTCAAGTAATTTTATTATCATATTTAAGAGTTTCTTAAACTATGTGCAAAATGTAGGACGACACTTATTTTGGAATTGAGGGAGTACCGAAGATGATCTTTAATCCGTATCTATCTAAGAGATCAGGTCCATGAAAGAGTGTCATTATCAAAAACATCTCCAAGTCATTAGATTATTTTACAAAATGCCCACCTCAAGGTTAGTACTATTTTGAGAGTTTTCTTATCCTTTTTTTTTAATGGTTATTAATTTAAGTATATTACTATCATATTACCAACCCCCTAAAGTTAGAAACTCATCAGCACCAATCCAATGTGAAAACCCCACAGGGTTAGAAAGTGCTGGAAATAATTTGTATGTGAAAAGATATGCAGCATTACACACCTCAGATTAGAGGGGAGACTCAGTTGTGCCCCAGCTTTCTTCAACATGTTTGATGGTGCTGCAAACCCAAGGGCCCCAATTCATGCACTTGGCTTGCTTCTCTGCCCCCATCTTTAATAATTTCTCCCATGGAAAAAATTAAACATTATGATGGGACAAATATGATTAGAACATTTTCCATTAGGGCACTGTCATTAAGAAAGAAATAATGATGGATCGAGCCGTTTAAATCCGATAATATTGATAGGATAATGATTCGTACAAAAAATTTTAACAGAAAATGAATTATAACCATTCAATACTTATACCTTTTCACATGTTAGAAAGTACTGAAAATAATTTGTTTATAAATGTTCTTGTCAAATTTTTTCTCTGCATATATCACGATCTTTGTTGATAGTGCTAAATTTGATTTTTATGATTGATAAGATTTATTAAGACTTATTATTATTACTATTTACTATGCTATATAGTAATGTAAATCACGTGAGTTTTTTCACCCCACCTTATAATAGAGGGACCATGGTAAAAGAAAAGAAATATTTGTAGTTGAAAAGAATAAATTTGGGTGTCGGACCACATCATATCCATATATCCAAATCGAAGGACACTAAAGCAAAGTAACAACACATTAATCTCTTTGGTCAAACTATACAAAAATCCAACCTTTTGAGTTGGACTAGATTAAATTAACCTGGCCTTGATCGTTGAAGAAGTTGCTGAGAAAACTAGGCTAACTTGCTTCCTCATGCTTTCACAAATGATTAGTTCTTTTTTCTTTTTTCTTTTCATTATTATATTAAAAAATTTTGGAATCTAACACAGAGGCTAGCCTAGTAAGATTACACAATAATGTTTGCAAAAATTAGCCATCCTAACAATGCCATGACAAAAACCACATTGTCACTGCGGATTATTTGGAATCTCATCAATATCCTTTACCCTCAAAAAATAAATAAATAAATAAATTATTATTAATCTTATTACGCAACTCAACTTGCCAATTCCTCTAGTGATGCAATGCCATCAACATTATTCTCGCAAGCGCTTCTCAGAAAATGTATCATATTCATAAGTCATAACCTATCAAGTCATTAGAATAAAACCCTATTCTTTTTGGGGGGTTTCGAAGTTATATTCTGTAGTTAAAAATATAGAATCATTAACATTGATTATAGCGATTTCTTGCAGTAAAATATTCTCAAGAATCTTAGGAGTGATTTACTAGAAATTTTCATTAAGTAACTCCATACGAAAAAAGACAAATGGCGCTAAATGGGGATTTCTATAAAATAAAAAATAAAAAATAAAAATCCGAGGCCATTTAAGTGTACACAATAGAAAAATTAAGTGTATTCTCTTTTTCAATGTAGCAACATACCCATTATACTGGAAAATATCATGGCCCTTCTAATTTTGTGGTAACTTTCTCGGTAAAATTACAATCTTGCCCTCTTTACGTGTCTGACTGCACCATCCTACATGGTACAGCAGGTGTGTGGAAGATTTTCTCGTACAGAATATCCATGAAAAAAAATCCAAAACTAGAGTTTTATAATAATGGCCGTCTTAATTCAGCCTTAATTAAAACCTCATGATCTATAGTCATTAGGATATGTAATTAAATAATCCACCATATTTAGAAATGGGAATCGGGTAACAAATACAATCGGTATATTGTTGAAATTAATACTCTACCAATTGATAATTGTGTTAAAAATATATTAAATCGTAGCCGACTGAAACACTACAATCCTATTATGTTTTCGATTTTTTATTCAGCTATTCTTTTAGGAATAATTTTTCTTTGTCTTTTTAAAAACTACTATAGGTCATGTTTATAATTATTATTGTATGATTAGTATTTATTTTTATTTTCATTCTACATTGAAAATTCCGAAGGGAGGGAAAAAGAAGTTTTGGTTGTATCAATAACCCAATTTTTGTTTTCAGTCGGAAAAAACGAGACAGATTCACCGGGACGATTATTACAACTCCAATTTCTTCTTTCTAGTTCAACATGTGAATGGTGATGACAACAAGTGGAAGACTGAAAATGATAGGATATTGTCTTACATGAAATCTAAGAGAAGCCTTTATAAAAAAAAAATGAGAACAAAAAAAAAAAAGTCATAAACAAAAGATACCTTGTAATTACGCAACACTTATTAGCCAATTATATCATCAATTCGGTATCAGAAGTGTTACGGAATTGACAAATTTGTTTTTGCACATATTCTCGTCTTCTTAATTTGTTCTGGTTCTGGATAGTTGAAAGAACTAGTCCAAGAAATGACAACATTATAATATTGCAGGCCAGAAAGCATCCTACAAAAGTAATTGGAACTACGCTAATAATAAACTTTGGCAAATCTATTGTTACCAAAATTCTGAAATTGTCTCCAAAAGCTAGGTGTGAACAAGCCATCTTTGAAGAACTACTCTGTTTGTTTCCTTTTTTTCATTGTTTTTTTTTTTTCAGAATAATATAATAATAACTGTCACATCTCAGCATAACCTTTTTACATTTCGAATACACTTTTTTACATTTCCAATATAAAAAACACCTAAAAACACACGCTAAAAAACCGAAACAAACATATTAGCTTCAGTTACAAGACTTGAATTTGGATGCCTAAAATTCATCTTTGCAGATTGAACATTGAAGTATGGTCTACAACTTACCCTTAGAAAACAAATCCAATTCGATAGCCAAATACGAAACCAAAAGTCAGATACTTGTCCAGGAAAAAAAAAATTAAAAAAAAAAAGTGCAGAAATTCAACAGAGAATCAGCCATCTTGCGGATGCCGTAACTCAAGATCCACAATTCGGATTTGACAGTTGAAGGTGTCTTTGAGAATCCTGAAAAACAAAATCCAACTTTTATTAAGAATTCAACATTACATTCAGACGCCAAGGATGTGAAACTTGGTCGCAAGTCACAATTGCTACATCAGTGCTGCTGACACAGATTCCAGATGAGCAGATTTAAGATTTGCCAGGGCAAGTTTTGTTGGTTTAGTAAAACCCTGTATGATCTGGACTAATAGAACGGGAATATGCTTCAGAAGAAAGAAGTAGTCCTGTACTTCATGGACTATCATATCAAATTTACAAACTTACATTGTTATATACCTGTGTACAACTGAAGCAATAATATGACAGCAGAAGTTGACTATAAACAAGTGTCACAATTCCGCAACCTAACCAATTTTTCGTTCATATGCCAACGGGGCGAAAAACTGATATTCTAACCAAACAGATCCAGCAAAAATGCAGGACCATTATGGATTCTATGAAATCCCATCACCCTCAGTTTCAGTACTGGATAAAAGAGGAGCAGTTTCTTCATCAGGAGCTGCAGAATACCGCACCGGTAACAAGGCTGGATCTTGGTAGGCACTACTTAATTTATTGAAAAATTCAGCAGTGCTAGCATTGTTGAGATCCTTTCTGTCCTTCTCTATCAAGGTCTGGAAGGAAAATAAGATGAAACTAAGTTAGTTTAATCTCAGTGACAGAACACAGTCTTGTTGTTCGCTTTCTTTCTGTATTTCAGAACCACATTCTCGTTCATATACCTATAGAAAAGTGGAAATGCATAGACTATAAAACCATCTTGAACATGTCTCTTCATTACATAAATTTGTTCCTCAAACCACGGGATCTATGAGGTACGTTGGTATTACAGTAAGGAGATGGTTCCAACATACCTCAGCAGAATACGCGTTGAAGTTGGGTAGAAAACGTTTCCGGCAGTAGGAATTGAAGATCAGTGTAACAATCGGAAGAGGGAACAATAGGCTCGATGCTAGAGAAATCTTCTTCAGAGTGAAGATTCCCACTGCAATTGCATGCATCAACAGGAGAGAGAATATCATTGAATTGTGGACAATAGGCCAAAACTTTCCAGCCGTATCATATTTTGGTGAATACACATTAATGAACTGCACTTTCAGTAGAAAAGTCATCATCAAACTCTGTCAAACGTCATCAAAAGAAAATGCAACATAGCCCATCAAATATGATAGCTCCACATTAGAATGATCAAATCATATCGATAAGGATAACGTGCAATTCAACCTCTCATTCTTCTTCTTGTTTTTATCCACTCCAGAACATGGATTCAAGGAGACTAGAGTCTAATTTTTTTGTAACTTTTCCTCAAAAGATTATGCTTTCCTTTACTACAAGATTCAATCAGTGACTTAAGAAGTGCTTCGGGACTGGTAACGAAACAGAAATCAAGAGGACTGATAATGCATTAAACTACAGTACAGAGACAGACAGCAAACCTGGTTTGTATATATTATGTATCCAAGACAGAAGTAAACAAAGAGAAATGGCAGGATCAAGGGGGCCAGGAAGAAGTACGTTATGCCAAGAAGTCCGAAAAAGAGAACCCTTGGAATGATCGCATGATAACGAAATGCTGGAACTTTAATTACACCAGCAGCATTCTTAAAAGGTTTTGTTACAATCCTCAAAAACAGAGGAAACAGCTGGAAGAGCTCTATAGAAGTACTCGTCCATCCTGATGTGACCACATAAGCGATGAAAAACGATGCCTAACGTATCAAGAACACAAAACATCAGTGCGATTTTTTATCAGTGCTATAAAGGCAAATGGATATTTTCACCGTCTCACAAACAGAAACTCAGTTCTAAGTTGACAAATTTATCAAAATGCAACTTCTACAATTACATAATCAAATCCACAAAATGAGTAGGCTTTATATTGCGCATAGTCATGAGTAAAATTCAACAACAGCATTCTCTGTTTCAATACTGACCCTATCATATGTGAGAAACAGCTTGCATAGAAATTTGAAACGCAATTACCTGAGCAGGAACTGCAACAGCAAGTCGAGAAGGAACATTCGCAGGCTCCAGGAAGGTATATATTTGATTGAAGACCGATCCTGACAGAACATTACCAAAGTAGACATTCCAAATGGTAAACCACAGAAACTTGTTGCAGGCACTTCTAATTATCTCACTATGCGAGATATATCCTTGAGCAGAGGATAAGAACTTCATAATATGGGGAATCAACCAAAGGAAAAACAGGAGAATAAGACTTGGAAGGTATCCTGTAATCACTTGATGGACAAAGGGCCTGAAAAATCAGAAGAAAATTTAGAAATAAGCACATGGAATGAAACCTCACTCGCGGAGATCCAATATATATATATATATATATATATATATATATATATATATATATATAAGAGACTGAAAACCGTTAAAATGATAGTATTGATTGATGGTGCCGACATTGGTTTGTTGCCTAAATTGACAACTGTATTCTAAAGAGATGTAATGGCAGCAACATCTTACTCTTTAAGGAAATCCTTGAGCGGCGGTAACCAGGCTTGTAGCTGAGACAAATTGGTGAGACCTTGTACTATTACCACAGGAATAAGGAACAAAAGAGTGATACTGATATATGCAACAAGGACAACGAGTTGAGACACCCATCGCCGAATGAACGATTCAGAGAAGAAAGGCCAGTAAACATCATGTGGCTCAGGAGCAGCCTCGGTAACCCAATGGGTAGGATCATCCACTTGTTGCATGCGAATAGCTATTGTTGCTCCATACCGAGTTTTGAAAGACACAAAAGCCGCTCGAACTTCCTTTAGCAAGGAAAGTTCACAAGGTAAGAGAGAGAATGTATCTCGTCAACTATAGTTCTGGAAGGAAAAGTACTTCACCAGAAAATCAAGCACACATTCATCTAATACATTGAAACAAAACAAAGTTTACAAAACAGCTCAAAGTTATCCCAGGGTTGAAAATGGGGACATAAGAGCTTTTGGGAATAATGCATATCAAGAGAAATTCTAGTTTAAAATTCCAATAAGTATCAGTTTACCCAATACAATACGAAAACCTCTTGATCAATGGAATTGCACAATCACACAAAGCAAGATGGCCAAGGATAAGGAGGTCATAGAAAGAAAACATCTACGGAAACTGAAACAAGCAAAAGAGAAAAATATAATTAAAATGAAATACAAGAAAGAAACTCTCAAAAATTTAGTGAGAAGAGGAATTTTACAATCCATAATCACATAAAAAACTGCACTGTACTGTTTCAATAATAATGTTCAGAATCAGTCAACTGAAAAACCAACAAACAGTTTAAAAGTTTCAACAGGAGAGCTTACTTCCCCAGCTAGTGAAGCTTCTGACTGCCCCAACCTTACATTCTCCTCCAATTCTTCTAGTTTCCTTTCATAGTCATTAACAATATCACTCTGCCGCCTAAATAAGCCACAAAGACCACCATGCTGGGACTTCACTGCACATCTTTCTTTTCGTAGGTCGATGAGCCTTCTGTACATTCTTTTTCCATCGTTCTAGGAAATTGAAACCATAAATTTTGAGCATATTCGAAAGATTTCCAATATCATCCCACGATTACACAATGATAAAAATCTTAGATCATAAACTTCATCACTGTATCAACAACCATGTTTCATCATTGTGAAAAAGAATAAGTACAAGGAAACCTTACAACGAGATGTCGAACTTTACTTGTTCTTCTAATAACCACGTGAGATAGATATGTGTTGGGATGGTATTCCCTGAAAAATCTCTCAACACTGTCACTGACACTACCACACCGAGAAACTGGCACGCTGCGGACCAAAATGGTGAATTGACCCGGCTGAGGTTTTGAAGTGAGAAAGTAGGAAATTCTTTTGGAAGAAACATATTTGAACTCCTGCAGAAAGCCAATAGAGAAGCGACAAAGCCTTTTAAAACAGCCAGAATTGACTATGCATCCACTACATATATCAAAATATCATGCACAATTAAAGCAAGGCCTTATACAGTCGTTGTAGGAAAGGAAGGAACGGCATAAATAAGCTGTCATTAATTAACCAGGATACCCATATGTATGCAAAAAAGGATCTTTATGACATGATCAGCTACATGACCATGGACATGTCTAACGACCATGTCCAAGACATGCAAGGACTGAAGGACATAATAATTCCACGTGGATGATAAACAGATGACTTACATTGTAAAGAAGGAAACAAGTAAAGATGGTGACGACATATACAGCCCCGAAGTGTACCCATAGCCTGTCACAAAAGCATTTCCAGACTCCAAAGCAACTCAACATGAAAGAACAAATATACCAAGGGAATGAGGCATCATGTTCACCTATTTGAGCCGTCCTTGACATTGGAAATGGTAAAGATATCCAAGGAATTACTGGTTAAGTTAGCAAAATCGACATCATGAAGTTGATCCCCCGAGAAGTTCACCGGAAGTAGAATAAACACCCCAATAACTCCAGCAACAGTAATCACTCTCAAGCTGCTTATACAATCGAAAGACTAAAACTAAATAAAATTGCCACCAATCACATGAAATCCATTCGGGATCATTCAAATTCATCTTTAGTCCTTAAAAGTACGAATATAAGTATACCTGAATGTAATAAGGCGTCGAAAAACAACAGCATCCAACCCTGCAGAAGAGAGTAATTCTTCTTCTGAAGTCTGCCAAGCACGTGCCACCCAACTTGGAGTAGAGAGCAGCCTCTCTAAGCGGAAAGTGTCAATAGCTCGAGAGTTGCACTCAGCAAGCAATCGGGGAGCATAAACACGATAATTGTCAGGTCGTTTCCTCAGACTAGAATATAGTGCCCACAACAGAACACAAAGGCCAGAGTTAATAAGCACAGACGTTAAAAGGGCTGAAACCAACATTTCCACATCATGAAGATACAGTTGGAAATTTCTTTAAAAAGTTTATCTGAATCTTCCAATGATAAGCCACACAACTCCACAGAATCAACCTAAGAAAGACCCAATTAAACAAACCCCATTAAAACAGTGCATAAACCCTGAAAAAAGTCAACACTTGTAATCATCAAGCATTAAAAAAAAAAAAAAAAGACTTCTTACAAAATTCACAAACTATCATTTTACAGCATCATTGAACCCAAAAATGAAAAATTCTTGAATCCCAACATGAAAAGATCAGCAGAACTTTCGCGGGTTAGGTAAGAAAACTTACACACTGGTTTTTTTTGTTTTTTTTTTTGGTTCCCCTTCTTCTGGGAGATTAAGAATGTGAACTCAAAACTGTCAACGAGGAAGATGAATAATATGTAGTATTAAATTAGTCCACGATGGAACAAAGGAAATTGATTGGATGATCTTTCATATGGGATTAAGGTGTAGCGATTAAGGTAAATATAAGAGAATCTAAGGCTACTAGTTTCGATGAATTAAGTACTTGGACGGTGATTTTAGTATTTTAGTGTGGGAAGTGCAAAGAGAAAAAACCGTACACGAAGAAGATCTTGCCTTCATTTGGCGCCTCTCAAAACCACCAAGTGGTTGGTACTTGGTAGTTCCCCATATTTTTCTTTTTCCTTCTTTCCTTTTGTCGTTTCTCTATAAGCAAAGGAGGACAAACAACAAAATGATTTTTTTTTTCTTTTTTAAGAGCAAGCTATAACACTAACAATCATATATGAGAATCATATTGTCTCAAAATGTTCACAGGCTGCCTCGACAGATATTTAACTAGAATACAAGTTCCTAATTAAAATTTAATAAAATATAAGTTCCGGATCAAACTTGATTTAATTTGGTACATGACTCGAATCTTGAATCTTTCGCAGTTGAATTTATAGAATGGAAATTTAGTCTAAAATCTTAAAAGGGTCTTTTAAAAAACTAGTTGAACTCTCTGCCCACACCCAGTTAGTTTCATCAAGATTTTAATACATTCATTTCACGGTGAAGTTAAAGTATAACCTTTATATCAAAAAAAAGGATGCCTAATGTAATTTAACAAAGCCGTCAATGAATTGGACAAACATGTTGATTTTCTTCATCAGTAAATGAGTTTATATATGTGTACAAACTAGGGTTTCCTAATTACCCTATGTAAAATAGTAAAACTAAATTAGCAATATAAATTAACTACACATATACAGTAACATAATTTAATTTAAAAAAATAAAAACACACAATTGAAACCGGAGAACGGGGTCTCCACTCTCCACTTCAAACGTACATTAGAGAAAAGTATTCCCCAAATGAGAAATTTTATTTTATTTTTTTATTACAAAGTGAGTGACTACGTAATTATGTACTTCTTTCATTTCAAAAAATAAGAGTCATGATAATATCTTTGTTTTTGGAACAGAAGGAGTATAAAAGGCATTTGATTGACTTTGCTAGTATAAGACACATATTGAAATCCATGTTTCTATTATTATCATTATCATTATTCCATTTCCCTACATATTCTTTTCTTCTTTGGCAAGAGAAATGACCACAGTATGGACGATGCCTTTGCCCACCTCAAGAAGCTTGGCTGTCTTGGTTGCAAATCTTTGGAACAACTGATTCATAATGGCATCACCAAAATGGCTTTCTAAGATTGGTTCAAAAACAGCTCTGATGAATGATGAAACATGCGCAGCTCTGACGTTGAAATCACCTCCATTCTTGAGGTGTTCTTGTGGTACGCTGGCATCCAATGGGAGCTTGAAAGTTTGAAGGTGCAATATCTTGAATGAACCTTCTTACAAAATCATGGACTTTACTTCTTCTAATGAAGGTGCGTATTGTGGTATATTAAAAGTGGCTAATTTCTTCCTCTCTATGTAACCCTGTTTAATTATTTCATTGCCAATTCAAGTTTAAAATAAATAAATTAATGAAACAACTGCAGGACACTATAATTAGAAATATCATAGCTTCTCCTATTCAAACTTTCAGAACTTTTCAAAATTTTCTAGATTATGCAAAATTATTTGGGGACTAAGATATCATTCCATAAGCTTTGACCTAAGTTCACTTTTCTTTTCTTTTCTTTTTTTTCTTTCGTTTTGTTATCAGTTCATTATAAGGAGTAATTCCATGCTACCTGATACTCTTTCCATCATGAAACAATTATTATATTATGCTAAAAATGAAAATTGAAATTGGAATTATTATTTTAGAACAGAAGAATTGTATGAATACAAAAGAAATACATGCAACTCCAAATTTCACATGGTAATATTAATTAAGGATGAAAAAGACATTATAAAAAATGAAAAATAAAGTCCAAGGTTGGGATATCCTACCTCCAGTACCATGTCATTTAGGGCACTTCCAATTATGTTCATAGCATGAGGGCCGTCAGTTTCGTCGTCGTTTTTACCAACGATGGTGGCGAATAATTGCCCGTTTGGGACCAATTCCTCATACCGGTGCTTCAGAAACATGGTAAAGTCTTTCCTAAATTGATCCAGATACGCTTGTTGCACCTTTGGGTTACCCCCTTTTTCGACATAAATGCTTGTTTCATTCAAATGGCTCCCCGATTCGGAGACCAACCCAGCAGGGACCTGCGTAATTGGATACAGAGAAAATGAATAGAAGTCTTTTTCTTGAAGAAAAGGGACTGTATATAACTTGTGTGTGGTCAAATAATTCTTAATTAGGGGGAAATTAAGTTGGGCTAATTTCATATAGCTACTTCATGATTAAAATAAACTATCAAGTTTCAGAAATAAGTAAGACATGGTATTTTGAAATAAAACATCAAAATTAATTAGAGATTTGTTGGAAAAATTAGCTGGAGATTTTAATTTGAAAGGCGACCCCCCACATTGGAGATATATAAATGTACTTTTGTCGGTTGTCCCGCGAAATATGAATATATCAACTGTGTTCAATTAGTAATAAAACAATAAAATACTCCCTCCGTCCCATAATTATTATCCAGTTTGAGTTTTCATTTCTAGTTCAAATTGTAGTAAAAGTAAAATATTAAATTAGATAATAATTTTGGGACAGAGAGAATATCAAATATCAATTGATACACGATGAAAGAGACAAACGTTTCCGTCTATCCGCGCAACTACAGACTCTACACTTTGGGGGAAAAGAAAAAATCACACTGATAAAGAAAAGTAATTTGGAGAAATTATTCAATCACCCGCTATACCATTCCAGCATGCATATGCAACATATAAGTTTGGGAGCGAAGTCCATAATTTAGTAGGCGTTTGATTAGTAAAATATATGGGGTTAAAAGAATGATTAATTATTTATCTTTATTTTGATTAGTTTGATGTGCTAAAAATAGGATACACCAAGTGTATAGAATAATTTTTGCCGTAATTTCATATACCATAAATAAGCCGAATATTTTAATTTTTATTTATTAGTTCAGTTTAGTCATTAATGTCGATAATAGACACCGTACTACATATGAAAAAAAAAAACATTCAAACCTGGGAGAGCCAATGAATACTGTAAGAAGAATGCATAAAATGCATGGAATTTTCGGGGAAGAGCTTGTCATAGAAAGAGCCAGGCATGGCAGCAATGAGGCAGGAACCATTTCCGCGTCCATGAATTTTTTTCAAGTTTTTTGTAGAATCCAGGCAACGACTTAAAAACCGTATTGAAATCATTCCCATAGAGATCGTTCAAGAAAACTTGAACAACAATAGGTTGTTTTTGATGATCAGCATCATTGGTAATATTTCGGGAAAGAGAATTGTCCATGCTTTGTATGATTCCCAGGATGGACTGAAGAGTGTTTGGCCCAGAGGAGCATCCCAAATCAGCAACCCTAGCACATTCCGTTTGGGTACGGCTGAATAAGTATTCCATGGAGTTTTGAAGAATTGTCTTCACCTTCAACAGAATCAGCATCTACAAAAAAAAAAAAAAAAAAAAAAGGGTCACATACACAAGGAAATTAATTAATTAGGAAAAGTATTCATTATTCAATTCTGATACATAATGGACAGTCAACCATATATATTTAATTTGTTGTTGTTGAAGGAAGGTGTATATGCGCATTCATTTAGCATTCTCCTTTTCTTAGCATTAAAAGCGTATTACACATCTCACATTATATGTACAAATTGTGCGTGTAACAAAAATATAACCACCCAGAATCGAACAATTATCGTCATTTCTATTTTTCGAGTTGCCATTTCAATAATGAGACACGATCAAAATATATACTTATCCCCAAATTCTCACCTTAAAAAAAAAAAAGATAAAAACGGTACACTTATAGCTAATAGAAATGATGAATGGTTGAATAGAATAGGGTGCATAAATTTATGCAAATTAATTTTTGAGATAGAAAGAGGGAAAGAGAACGGACTTCATGAGCAGAATTTTCGGCATAGCTAATATGGCTATCACCTCCATTCATACGAAGAACTTGTTTCACCTCCATCTTCCCTCTCAATATTATCGGAGATTAACAGTGCACTTTTTTCCCCCAAGAAACTTAACTCAGTAATGGTCGAAGCACACTGACATATCTATCTTTTCTTTGGCACGTATTTATAGTGAGATGTTTATCGTAAATTTTACATATTTTTATGTATATGACGGGGCCTGATGAAATTGTTCACCCCAAGCTACTGTTCACAGTCAAGAATCACAGAGATAATTAATTAGTACATAACCAAGTTGTATTTTTAAGAACATAATATGTATACATTCAAAGGAAGAAACATACATATTAATAAATGTATCTGTCTTAGTTTTGCATTAAAAAAAAATAAAATTTAACAACACCTTTACAGTACGAGATATTAACTATATCCCTCTGTCTCAAAAAAAAAAAATTTTACATTAAATTTTCAAATTTGTATTATTTTTAGTACAAGTTTCAAAATTCAACATGAACTATTTTTTTGAGGACAAAAGTAGTATAATTTTTTTCTTTCTATTTTGAGTTTAGGTTTCTAAAACTTAGAAGAGTATTTCTTTCTTTTAATTAAAATTGTAATTTTAACATTTAAATATGAGAGATGTGGTTTAACTAACTTACTACCGATATGAGACGGATGGAAACCTGAAATTTTAGAGGAGACTCGGTACAAGTCCTTAGATGTAATGCGAGTTAGACTTAGTCGTCTATGGTGTTAATTTTCTAATTTCACGAAAATGATAGAGGGAATATGCGTGGAAATCAAAGATTGACTATTTTTACATTTCAAACTAGTTTTTTTTTTTTTTTTGATGGTGAATATATTCAAGTCGATGCAGTAAATTTGACCGGGTAAGTATTTAATTATTCATTAGTATAAGATTACCTTTTTCCACTTTGAAGATTTGTACAGCTTAATTGTACCAGTTCCTGTCAACGCCTTACCCAAAAATAAAAAAAAAAAATAATAATAATATAAGGACAAAAAGAAAACTCAGTCAACATTTACTTTAATACTAAAATTATTATTAAAATTGTACCGAATTTTTTTTTAAAATCAAAATTGAGGGTTTGAAATGTATGGCCAAGCTTGCACCCTGAAATTATATTGAAGCTGCTAATTTGGGTGCTGGACTTCAAGATGATTTGGTACCTTATTTGAATCATAATGTAGCATGGATAACATATTTTGGCCAAAATTTCTTACCATCAATCTCAAAACTAATTGTCAATTAATAAAGTGATTTAAAAAACTTAATAAAATTAGCTATAATTTCAAATATTTTACTCCCTCCGTCCCATAATTATTGTCCAGTTTGGATTTTCATTTTTAGTTCAAATTGCACTAAAAGTAAAATCTCAAACTCTACAATGATTTTGAGACAGAGGGAATACACGAAATTATTTGCAGGGTATTTCCATATCCATACTGTAATAAAGGATACGAAATACTCCGAACTGTAAAATAATACTCTTATATCCATTAAAATCTGGTTGCGTTCCTAAACTAATTAAAGGACTTGGAAATAGGGTTGTTTTTAGGAGAAAAGTCTCATGCAGCGATCATAATGGGAATACGTCTCTGTAAACTTTTTAACTACTCTTCATTTCACGAAGAAATCGTATCATTTCTTCTATCTCAAAACCAATGTACTGTGGTTCGGCAAACTTTTTTTCTTGTCAAAAATTACTTTAAAATATTTTGGAAAAAAAAAAGTTTGTATTTGTACTTGACCCTTCAGGGCCAGTTTCTTCACAGATTAAAAAACCCTGGGTTTTGAAGAGAGCAGAAAAATATCCAACGAAACCCTTGGAAGTGTTTTAGGTTTCATTTCTCCGAAGAATATTTTTGCCATTATTAATATGCGCTGACGAAAACACCTGCCAATCTTTACCCATTCAACTTTCTTTTTCATTTTTACAGTTATTTACTACCTTCTTATATATGCATACAGTTCCTCTATATATATATATATATGTATGTATGTGTGTGTGTATGAATGATATCACGTTTTTTAACAACTGTAGACGAAAGTCATTTACCGGCATAAACATATCATGAGAGAAAAAAAAAAAAAATTGTAAGAATGCTATTAGTACATTTTCCCATTTAAAAAATGAATCCCCGTAGGTAGGTAGGTTAGAGCAATGAAATTCAAAGATGAAGCAAAGAGTCAGGTCTGCAAGGTTTTATTCAAATTTAGAGGGTTGAGACTTGAGATCGAGTTTAAATCTCGCTGACTTTAAAATGCAGTGTTTCCAGATCTCGAATTTAGCTCTGAGACTGATATGCCCTTCTGCTTCTTCTTTTTTTTTTTTTTTTTTTTTTTTGTAGAGTGAAAATGTTGTGGTACTTACGATCTTATTGTTCGCGCTGTGTGCCCATAAAAATTAATTCATATTGTAAATTTTAAATTGTAAAATTGTGAACTATTTTGATAGTAAGAAGAGAGTAATTAATCAGCCGCATACCCTTTGAATTCTCCTCTTCTCTATTTTCGATATTATAAGGCTTTTGACAACTATTATTATTGTAGTTGTTTTTCTCTTATCTTATCACTTATGGTGGATGTGCTCTTACATTTGATGTAAACATAAACATACTCCCTTCGATCTTTATTATAAGACATTTTGAGTTCGTCTTAAATTTAATCTAGAATATCTTTTAAATTAAAGAAAAAACTTAAAAATATATTTTTACATTGTTGTGTTCTCCTAATAATTATGGAATATTTTTAAGATTTTTATTTCAATTAAAAAGACATCCTAAATTAAACCTATGACAAAATCAAAATGACTTATAATAAGGACAGGAGGGAGGAAGTATATTGTAATGGAGTTAACAAGAAAGAAAATCGATAACTCAAGCTCTATTTGGTTCCTTTTTTGGATGATTTTTTCAGAATTTTTTATTAATATCTATCCCATCTCATCATATCTTTTTACATTCTCAATGCACCTTTTTACTTTCCTAAAACGAAAAAACACACTCAAAAAACCTTTCAAACATTGCTTCAGCAACTGCCGCCGACAGAGTTGTCCAAAGACATAAAGCTAAATATAATTGGACTTTAGACTAGGAGAAAATTAATCAACAAGGTAAACAAATTCAACATTTTTAGCAATTCTTGAAAGATGCTCCAGAGAAAACAATGATTATTAAATTGCAAGAGGCGTGGATATTAGTTGGTTATTATAACGTAATCTCTGGTGGGTCTGGTTTTTCCTTTTCATTCTTTTTCATTATTACTCCCTCCATTCTAAAATAAGTGTCATTCTAGAGTTTGCACACGTACAGTTTAAAAAAAATTAAATAAGATAGTTAAATTACTAGAATATCCTCAACTAATCCCATTAAAATAAATGTTTACCAATAATATTATTTCTTTTGAGGGTATGTTTGGAAACTTTTGACAAAAAATATATTAGAAACTGAAAACGACACTTATTTTGAAATTTTTTCATTTTATTAAAATGACACTTATTTTGGAATGAAAGGGAGTGCTTATTATAGAGACTGTCAACATCGGTTTTTACGTACAGAGACGAAATCTTATCTGGAATCTAGAGTCTAGACTACACAAAAATTGGAAGAGAATGAACATTTATTTGATCTTCAACATTCAACTGGGCAACTTGAGGTGCCTTAATAATCAACAAAAGATCTAACATTCTACGACCTTAATCATATGTGTGTGACTAAAGTTTGGAAAATATGATTCTTCGCTAGTATAGTAATTTAACATACAAATGTTATGAATATGGAATAGTTCGAAATCCATATCGTAAGTAGGTACGAAATAGAATTAAATTATTTTTGTCAACCTCTATTATTTATCGAATTCATACATATTAGCGATCTGAATTAGTGAGTGTGCGCGATTGTTATATGCCCCCAAAAAAAAAAAAAAAAAGAAAAATTTGAAGGGATGCATCAGAATGTAGTAAAACTTTCCCTTCTTTTATTTATTTATTTATTTTTTGTCTCCATATTTGTATTTGTAGGGGAGCAAACAGCCAAAATAAGCTTATCAATATTCATCAGTACACTTAAAAGTAGCCCTGGAGATATTTATGGGACATAAATATCTAGAGCTGGATATGGAAGGAATTATCAATTAGTATCTCTTACACTGATGAATTGACTTCGAATCATTGAAGCAGAAAATATCCTAGGAATTAAACTCCATTTCTGAAGCCTCCGAAATTGGTTTTTCCCTCATCTAAAATGGAAAATGAAGAAGAAACACCACCATTAATTCTAAGTGATTGGGTGGAAATTCAATCGGCATTCTCCAGCGACGAATCTCATCACGGGTACGAAAACGAAAACGAAAACCCAGTGGTCATCAACGAATACTTCTTCGTCAATGACTCTGCAGTGTTTCCCCCAAGCCATCATGAGGACTTGCCGATTGATTCCTTAAATCAGGCTGAAGAAGAAGAAGAACAACAATCCCGAGCCCTCCTCCTTCCATCCTCTTCCGGTGTTGAAAAGGAAGCCGGAAAATGGATAAGTAGGGATGCTCTGACTCCGAGGTTCTTCAGCTCTGTAATTGGTAAATTCTTTTCAGGGATGTCAAAAAAATGTGGCGCTTTCAGGGCGAGCGTATGGTGGTTTGGTACGGCGACAACCGGAGTCGGTGCTCTGGCGTTGGTGGTGGTGTTGTGCAGGAGAGCGAAGCGGTGGCGTCGTAAGAAAGTGCTGCCGCCGGCAGCTGATACCAACCAGCATCTCATGCTCCTGATTCAATCAAAAGACCAGGTATACATTATTTTGTTCATTTCCAGGCTCTGTTTTGAACTCGGAATCTCACAATTCGATTAGTTTTGCGATATTTGATAATTCTATTTAATACCCAATTCCTTAATTTTGAGATAACTGATAATTCATTTCATAATTCGGCTCGGCTTAGATACAGGGCTATAGTTTTTTTTATATGGCCCCTAAGTTTATCACTATGCTGCTAGAGCAAGACTCTAGAAATGTAGGAATGTGTACCTCGTCAGTTTCTTCCTAATGTTAATATATGCTCCGTCTTTAACCAAAAAAGAAAAAAAAATAAAATCTTAAAGCCCTATGGGAATAAGATTATGCTTGCATTTTTCATTTTTCTCTGTTAGAAATTGTTGCACGAATAGGAAAAAGTTGAAAGATTTTTGAGTTTGTTGTTGCAGAAAATCAGTCAGCTATTACTCCAAGTTTCACAGCTTAACGATATGTTATTGGCGCGGAGGAGAGTTCCAGTTCTTCAAGTTGGTTAACATTTCGGCGAATTTCATCAGCGCAATGGTCATTAATCGGTGTTACCATCAAACTTATTTTGTAATTAGTTCCTCATATATATATAGTTTGAGAATAGGCGTTACGTCTCATAAGCATCGAATGGTAATGTGAAATTGTGAATGAAGTTCATGAGTCGGTTCATGTTTGGAACTCTTCGCAACTTTTTCATTCCATTCCCTTTTGAAAATTCTGGAAAATGTAAACACGTTCTCTCGCATTATATATTTGTTGTTATTTAATACCCACTCTATTTCAAATTGTAGGTCGTTTTATGTTATTTCAAAATGTAGGTCTTTTTAGGATTTCGAGGCAAATTATTGGTTAATTTCTTAACTTTGCCCTCAAAAAATGATGCTAACTATTTTTCTTCTAGCCTTGATTATAATTCTAAAACAATTAATGATGAGTAAATTAGATATTTGACACATAAATTAATTACTAAATAGTTGTTTTCTTAGTTTACGTGCAGAGCCTAAAGTAACCTACATATTGAAATGGAGAATAATAAGAATGTAATGCCCTGTTCCTCCATGTTACAAATGCGTTTGGTTCATTTTTTTTTTATTTTTATTTTTTAACATTACACATTCCGTATCCAAATTTATTATTTTATTATACCTAATATAAATTCTAGTGAAATAAGTTTTTTTTTTCAAAAGTATAGCTATCATAATAAATATTTTAATCCCACATTATCTTTAAAGTGCTCCCAAGGCCAAGAGTACATTCTTTTTTCTTTTTCTGTTTTTTTTTTTTTTTGGAAATTAGAAATATTATTAAGATGGTTGGGACTGTAATTTACACATTTCACCTTGAATGGTAAAAGTTCTGTGCTCCGCCTTCCAAACAACTTAATTCATAATAACCCCATTCATATGTTTTTTCCCCCAAAATTCCACTCCAGTGACTCTACTTAAATGTGGGTAAAAATTCTTGATGGGAATCGAATTTTAATCTATTAACAGGAAAGACAAGAACCTAATCATTAGACTGTCATTTAATTCTCTAACCCCTTTTATATGTATCCCAACTCTGAAATAGATTAAAGAAGCTCATCATCACATCACTCCACAATTCCCTCTGTTGCATATAAAACACAATTTTAACTCAATTTAAGTGCGAGTAATTTTCAAATATTTGAAATCCAATGCTGCAGAGCCCCTTTTGTTTGGAATTCATTGAGAACTCGTTGATAGCGGTTCATACCAGTTTAACCATAAAAATATGTACTTTTGGTTTAACAAGAATTGGAGTTAGGTTTGGGTTGGGAAAACTTCATGTGATAGCCATATTCATGCAAAGAGGTTGATTAATTGGTTTTCGCCCTTAACCTACACTCAACAAAGCTTTTGGAGACTAATATGGACTTAATACATGGCCTTATTAGTATCCAATTTCAAGTGGAGTTTGGCCGGCATATTTATCATCATGTGAATTCACTATTTCTTCTCCAAATAAGTTGCAAGCATTGGACTTGGATTCTACTTCTTCTCAATCAACAAAGCTACGGGCAACTTCCTCTATAAAAAGGCAGTCGAGAGCATCATGAACGACACACCTCAAATCATCATATCAATTGAGTCTTTTATTTTCGTTCTTTTACTTCATGTCTTTTATCGTTTTTTTCTAGATGTAGCGTAGGTAGTAGTTCATGGATTATACTTTAGTGAATTCGATCTTTCTCTATAATAACATGTCATCGGCAACTTCTATGATTAGGCGGCGCTAATATCTCTGTTTTCTGTGTCATAGCGTATTATTGATAAGGTCTACTCAACGCTAATATCTTTTTTTTATCCCTTTTTTTTTCTCCATGTAATAGCGCGTCATCGGCACCATCTATAGTTTGCTGGCGCTCGAGTTTTTTCCCACTTTTAAGAATTAAAGCCATTAGGCTCATTTCCCTCTCATTTTCTTTATTCTTTTTCTTTTTATCTACAAACCAAAAGTTAACCTTAAACCCTCAATTTTAGGTCTGAGGTAGGTTTTGAACTCATCCACAATCACTTGATTTTGTATGTTTTAGAAAATTTTGTCCCCTTCTTTCTCATAGTTTAGAGTGATTTTTTCGGCACAAACAATACTGAAGCAAGAAGTATTGTACATGAAGGTGGATGGCGATCGAGTTCGCCTGCAAAGAAGAAGCTCCAACTAAAGAATGCGACATTTCAGCTTTTGGTTGCAAAACGAAATCGAGCAGAGAATTGAGATGTCGTTGGCTATTTGATCTTTAATTTCATAAGGGGTTATGTTTTACTACCTCCATTCCTCCTCTTCACGAAGGAAAATGTCTCCGCTAAATGTCTTAATAAGCATATCGCCCTGTCACGTCTTACAAATCTATTTTGTGAAGCTATATTTATTAATTTTTATCATTGAAATATTTTTTTTTATTTTAATCCATGAAAATATTTTCTAAATTTTTTTTGTGAGATACCGAAAATACCAATATTAATTTAACAATCGAAACGGTCAAACTATCAGAAAATTTGAAAAGAATATAATTATGGTGTCAAAAGAAAGATAAAACAATCTTTTAGAATGTCATAAAACATTAGTTGTATTCAAGTAAAGTTTAGTTAAGAAGAATATAATTATGGTGTCAAAAGAATTATAAAATAATCTTTTAGAGTGTCATACAAAACATTAGTTGTATTCAAGTAATTTACAAATATACAATAAAAGATCCTAATGCCTATAAGAATAATTTTGAACTTTCTCGTGCCCTTTTCAGAAATTTTCCCAAAATTAAAAAACACAATACCCATAATATTTCGAACCGGCTCAGATTCCGGTTCAGCTTCGAACCGGGGAATACTGGACAAAGAAGCTTGGGATCTGGTTTTCCTTCTTCTCTGTACAAAGAAGCTTGGGATCCGGTTCGTTGAAGCTCTGTCGAAGCTCTCAAAATCTTCATGCCAAATTCTCCAAAATCAATTTATTTCTTTGATTAATCTTCAGGCGAGGTTAACTGAAAAGATTCAATTTAAACTCTCTAATTCCTTATGTAAGTTGATTTTTCTCAGTTGATGCTGCCCCAACAAAGTTTGTATTTAGGGATTTATGTTGTATATCTGCTCATTGATCTCAAAGAATAGTATCCGTTATTTATCATTCTCATTCTCGTATATTCCGATAGGTAAGTTCTAGGGTCTTGTTTTTTGGTTCCGAAGTGTGGACTGTGGACGGAATGTTTTGTTTTGTTTTTGTTTTTTTTTTTTTTTTTCCAATTTGAGTTCTTTCTTTGAAGGAAGTAGTTGGGTTTGGGGTAGATTAATTTGTGATAGAATTGTTTACTGATGTAAATAATTCTGAAATTCGGTTAGCTGAATTTTCTGAAAGGAGTAATCTTGACTTTAGCATATTGATAACTTTTGCTCTGAATACCGGAAAAAAGAAGCTTGAGCAATGATATTGTTTTAACAACAATAACTATGATTCAGTGAATAAGAATCAATTGCAGTTATCTCCTTATCAAAACATATTTAGATGTAAATGATGTTTCATGCTGAATTCCATAACTTTTGTCGAAGTGATAAGCAATCGTTTTACCTTACATTTATCCTATTCTTTTAAAAGAAAGTGCATATTTTTGGCTGAGATCATCTTGTTTTTTAGGCACTGTTGTTTATTATCTACATTTGGATCAAACTGTTCTTTCCTGCTTTTGCCGGTTTATGTGCCCCTTGGATTTACATATCTCACTATCTTGTGTTGTAATATGTAAATGACTTTCTCAGTCAAAAAGGTTAACACTCACAAACAGATAAAGAACCTCAAAACTAAATATGTGCACGTGGTTGTATTTTTCATAGCCTTTGTTTTGTATGAATGCACATTTAATAATGGAGTTTGTAGGTAATGATTGAAAGGTTATAATGAAGGAAGCAAAAGGGAGTTATGTGCCACCAGCTTATTTGCCTCTCAGTGGAGTGGAGCAGTCTGATCCAGAAGGGGATAAACATGATGATGAGGTGATGGTCAGCAGCAGCCAAACAACAGAAACTAAGAGGGAAAACGTTGGGCTACCAAATCAGTGGTCTTCTGGAATCTGTGCTTGTTGTGATGATCTGCAAAGTTGTAAGATTATTCCTTCTTTCCTTCCTCTCTTTGTTGAATAACCAACTGCTTCCTCCTCAAAAGTTGTATAAAATAGAAAAATAAATTAATTTTGAGGAGCATGCATCCCAAAACTGTTTAGTGTATGTGTTTTTGCACCCCTCCCCCCCTTTTTGTTATTTTTACATTTCCCCCCCACCTAATCTTATTTTTTTTTTTAAGGAAGTTCACTTATCATTTAAATGTTATTCGTAAATATTTGGTTTAGAGGAGAGGGTCGTACAAAAGGTGACCTTTGTATTCTATCTGAAAGTATTTTGGCAACGATGAATTTCAATTCCTGGAAAAGGTGCTTGTTTCCTGGGGTAGTATACCTTCTGTAATGAGGAGAACCGGATAACAATGTCTAATTTTTCTGCTACCTAACTGATGCACATTTCCTGTTGGGCAACCCATGTTCCTCTTGTTGAAATAGAACATGTATCTTTATGTAGTGAGACACATTTAGATATGTTATGCAATCTAGTGTAGCGGAATGGATATTGTTAGCCACATGTGGTGATTTTGAATATGTTTATGTTGGGATGAAAAAGCTGTATAGTTTATTAGGAATCTGGTGTCAGGATATTAAATAACTGATTAGTCATGAGGTTTCCGAATCTGCTTGTCATGTAATGTAATCCGGAGTAGCAAAAATAATGTGCGTTTTTGGCGTAGGATAGCTTCTTAGGATGGGAATTCAGTACCGTTGGTGCTGAAAATGATGCGTTTATGTTCCATGAAAATGTTTGGCTGTTGATACTACCTTTAGGGTTGGCAATGGTTGTTGTTCGCTCTCTGTAAAGTGCTCCTTGCGTGCCAATTTACTCCAAAATTATATTCTTCTTCAATTTACAGTGAGTTAAATGTTGTATTAGTAATGATTATGGAAGTCAATCTATTGCACTGAAATGTAGGTCTTGATTAATGAAATCGAGAATTTGATTGAGACTTATATTCTCGGAACCCTTCCTTCACAAATTCCATTGATTTTTAGTTTCTGATATGATATAAACATGAAGATCAAGTTGGATGCAACACCAAATGTTACAAGAAATTCTAGCGACCATTATGTAATAAGTGTTCAAACTTATTGGTCTCTCATAAATGTTTATTATGATATCGAAGTTTAAAAATTCCAGGTGCTGTTATTGCATATATGAAAGCACTAGTCCTTTTGAAAGGTCTGTAACAGGTTTTGTAGCATTATAAAGTGGACGTTTGACTGAGACGAGTCTGAATATTGAGAAAGTTGATGCTATTAAAAAGAGCAATAATAATGAAAGATGGATATCTTTTTTCTTGGTGCATAAGAATATCATAGCATTGCAAGTCCAACAGATGCTGCAATAATGACACTTACTGTTGGTATACTAAATTAATTTTCTTTATGTCAGGTTTTATTGGACTTATTTGCCCTTGCTTTCTTTTCGGGAAGAATGCTGAGTACTTGGGTTCAGGAACATTTATGGGATCATGCATGACCCATTTTATCCTTTGGGCTCTTGTCAATACAATTTGTTGTTTTTTGACCGATGGTGTTCTTCTGGGGTTACCAGGATGCTTTGTTTCATGCTATGCTTGTGGCTATCGAAGGACACTAAGGTCAAAGTACAATCTACCGGTATGGTCAGTTCTGCTAAGTAAAAAAAATCCTCCAAGGGATATTAGTTTTGTTGGAAGTTAAAATGAAAAAAGTGAAAGCGATGGCATTAGTTTAAATTATGTTGGGTCAAGACGGGTTTGCTCTGTCATCTTCCTTTTGTGTTCTGCTTGATTCATGTTTATTTCTGAAGGGAGTAGGGCCAAGTCTAAATCAGTTTCCTGCTTTAGATGGAAACTTCAAGAATAAGCATTTCAATCTGCAGGAAACCTTCCACTTAGTGTCATTAATATATTCTGATCTTAGGAGCCTAAGTACATGTAGTGAAAAACATAAGTAGGTTAATTTTAAGTGCAATTTCTTAAAAAATAGTTGCGGCGTGTTGTTTCAGAGCTTTCTGGTTGAGAATGATCCCTGGAAAACCACTTCCCTTTTCGCCCAAGTTCTTTAAATGACTGCTAGATGTGAAGTTGTTACATTCAGATCAATAAGCATACTATGATAAAGTTAGTATGTGTACCATTATATCCATCATTAAAATGATTTTCTGCTACTTTGATGGAGCTACAGGGAAGTGCACTTTGAGATAGTTGTTGATTAGTGAGCTTGCATATGATCTCTTTCTTTATGTTCAATCATCATTTTCCGCAATTTTGGTCTTATAGTGGCACTGATTTGGGAGATTTGTTAAACGTGAATAATATATCCACTAAAAAGTGGAAAGGATGTCATATCTGTTCCTTGAATACAAGTGCTACTAAACTATAAGGAATGAAAAATGTTCCTCATATTGGACAAGATTTGTAAAGATCAAGGAACCAGCTTGTATTACTTACTAATCAGGATAGAGCAAAGTCGTAGTCTTTAATAGCCTTATGAAGTAATGTATCATGGTATTAAGCTGTGCATCTGATCTACACCTGCCTTATGAAGTAATTAATCATGGTTTTAAGTTGTGTATCTGATCGACACCTAAAAAAGTTCTGTTGTTACACCGCATTATCTGTATGAAAGAACATCTATTGTATTGGGTGAAACTAAGAAATCAAATTTTCAAAATTTTCTATTGCCTGTGATGAAAATCTCATAAAAATACCATCTTTCGGGACTGAATGGCCATTAAGGCCTTGCTGTCATTCTGCAATTCTGAGGCAATTGTCTTGACTTCATATTTCGTTTTTTATGGTAATCTGGGAAGTCTTTATTTTTTTGCAGTGGAGAGTCCTCTCTTGCTTTACTATTTGAGTTATGTGCTTATGGACGGTCTGGTGCTGTTTAGTTTCTTTCCGACAGTACTTAACATATTCATAAGCTAAATTTATCAGTGCCGCCATGTCTTTCAAGTCTTATTCTCCAATCTTTGAGATGAGGCTATCCTTGGGTCCTGTACACTTTTCTTCTACGAAATTTGCACTGGGCCTGTTTTGTGAGTTTTGTCATATCTGCAAGCAGACGCACTCCAATATCAGTGAGACTGAATATGTTTATTGAAACATCCCTGAAATTTTTGGTACAGGAAGCCCCTTGTGGAGACTTCGTTACTCATTTCTTCTGCCATCTTTGCGCAACGTGCCAGGAGTTTAGAGAAATAAGGGAAAGATCTGGCAGTCCAAATTCGAGCTTTGATTTAGTGGAAGTGACTGCGCCACAACATCAGACAATGGAATCAGTAAACTCGAACTAAGGGAACCTTTGTCATCTGATGCACAGTTATGCAACCTCAGGTGTGGACTAAAGTTGATAAGCATATGCAGGTATTTGATCGGAATTACCTTGTAGGATGTGACTTTAATGGTAGGGACGACCTGAGGGGGATTACCTGATCGTCATGATGCGAATTGACTTTTGGAATTTATGGAAGCTCGAAATGGCGGGAAACTTGACACCCAAGGGTTGCTGCTAATGCTGGAGTCCGGATGGATATAGTTGGAGGCAGTGTAAAGAGCTGGAGACGATCAATACATAACTTCCATACTCCTACCCAAGAATGACTGTAAACTTGAAATGTTAAATATGAAGTCAAGAATAGAGAATAAGACGAACGTATTAAGAATTTAGTTTATGAAAGGTTTACCTTAATGTGTATTGATCAACTAGAGCAATTGCAATGTATGAGCAACAAAGTGAAAGTAAAACCAGATTAAGACCGGATTACATCAAATCAAAACATATTCCTCAAATCAAGTTTAACTTCAAAAAAACAGCACTACAATTGCATTATAACACCTGCAGAATCACACATTTCTAACACCATCTCGGGAAGACACCAACAATCAAACCTTGGAAGTTTCGCAATTTGTAATATCTGAATTCTGAACTAAACATGGCCTTCATCAAGAGGTTCAAGTAAAAGGTAGGCAGCTTTCTTTATTACAGTAACAAAGTAAGTTATGCACATGAGAATCTTAAAAAGAATGACTGTTCATTCATGGGTAAACTAGAGATGTATCGTCTTTTAATACTAGTTGGGCCTTCTGGCACTTCTGGCCCGCATCTAAATGGATTTCAGCTACGGGCAGGCAAATGAGCCGAACCCTAGACCCGAGGGGCGCGAATCCTATGTCCTAAATATAAATAAATTAGGGTAGAACCCCATCACTCTTTCCTCCTACCGCCGCTCACAACTCAGCGCCAAAACCTTCCTCCACCACCGCAGATCGTGATTTTTTCATCGTTTTTCTGATGGTTCGTTTTCCTTCCGATTCATCTTCTCATCGTTTTCCGGTTTGGTGTTTTAATTTAATCCTCAATTGTTTTTTGGCTGTTGTTTCAGGCGCCGAAGAAGGATAAGGCTCCCCCACCGTCCTCCAAGCCCGCGAAGTCCGGCGGCGGCAAGCAGAAGAAGAAGGTCTCGTTTTATCTCGTTTTACTTATATTTTTTTAAAAAGAAAAAAAAAATTTGTCAAGCGGTTAATTAATTTGTTTATTTTTGTGTTTGGATTTGGATTGTGTTGAAAACGGCAGAAATGGAGCAAGGGAAAGCAAAAGGAGAAGGTGAACAACATGGTGCTGTTTGATAAGCCAACCTATGACAAGCTTTTGTCTGAGGCTCCTAAGTACAAGCTCATTACCCCTTCCGTCCTTTCTGACCGTCTCAGGGTAACCTTTCTTTCTTACTCTGTAATCTACATTTAGATCTGCTCATTTTAGCCTTCATTTAGAGTGATTATTTGTTATTTTATTTGACATATGCTTCATATTATGTTATGTCTATCTATTTAGCAGTTTGTGTGGAGGCTGTTTTTGGGTTGATTTATTGTATTGGACTTTGACTGGAAAGTGTGTGGTGCTTTCTCTTGTTTGCTGGGAAAGATTTTGCCAGGTCAATTTTTGTTTTCACAAAGTACAACCTTTTGTGAGGTTCAAGTTTAGACTCTTTTGGTTAGTTGGTTTGAGTGCTAGAGTTCATGATCTTTTGAACTTGTCCACTGTAAAGCTGAAATAGGTTGTTTTGGTTGATTGTTGGGGTTGATGATCTTTTGAACTTGTCTAACAGAAAGCTGAATTAGGGTCTTTTAATGAGTCTGATTCTAAATTTAGTTACTCTTTCTAGCCACTTGATTCCAGCTCTTTTAAGTTGGTAACAAGATACTCAAGCTGGAATGATACGCAGCATTTGTTTTATTTTCCTTCTGTTCTGGAAGCTTTTGTGAAATAAACCTGTGGCTGTGGTTTCCTCGCAACAGTTCACGTTTTGTTGGGTCTGGAAGCTGTATTCCTACCTTTGGCGGTTGCTTTAGTTGCATTGTTTGATTGTTCTCATCAGTAGTTGTAAAATGGTGCAGATTAGCGGTTCCCTTGCAAGGAAGGCTATCAGGGAATTGATGGCCAGAGGGTCAATCAGGATGGTTTCTGCTCATGCAAGCCAGCAGATATACACCAGGGCTACTAACACTTGAAGTTTTGCGTAGGATGCTTGGCTGTTTCTATAACTGTAGTTTTTGGTTGCCCGAAGCAAGATTTGTCATGAATTTTAGTTTTATTTGTCAAAAGGCTATGGATTTATCTATCACTATTTTAAAATTTGAGTTCTGTTATACTTGCTATGTCAAGGATTTTGTTTAGTTTCTCTCTGTTTAATTGTTCAATTTCATGTGCTTAGTCTCTGTTGCATCTTCATCTTGGTATCCCAGTATTCCCGTTTTAGTTGCGCCAGTTGTCTGTGCACTATCCCCATGTTGCAAAATCTGCATCACAATGCTGGGAACAAATGCCTGTGAGTGCATGTATAATCTTGTAAGTCGGGTTGTAACACAATTTGGTCGAACAGGATATCTTCTTTGTTTTGTGAAACCTTTTTATGTGTGATGAATCTTTGGATCAGATTGTGAGATAAATCAGAGGGGTTGGTTTAGAAACCAGGATAGGGAATTCTGTTCAGATTTTGGGGGGTTTCAATAGATGCTAAATCTTTATTATTCTAGCTGTCTTTTCAAATCTTGTTTTTGGTATTCAAACTATACAACTGGTTCTTCCTATCTTGTTTTTGGTATTCTAACTCTATGGACTTGCGGTGATGCGACATCCTTTTCTTTCAATATTGTCTTGTTGGTCTCCTTATTAAATTGACAAATAGAAACAAATAATGGTAACTACAAAATTTCCCCCAGACCCTAATCAAATGGAGTAGCTTAGGAAAATTGAGAGAGGGTAGCAACTTGAACAAATCTTATTTGAAAAACAACTTGAAGGATCAAATATTTTATGCTTACTGCAGTATAATGTTTATTCCGCTTCTAAATAACTTGAAGGTTCTTAGCAAATGCGGATCCCGGCCATAGTATCTGATGTAGCCATAGCTAGTAGAGCTCAAGGATAGCATTAGATTTAAAATTCTTTTTTTTTTTTTTTGAAACAGGATTTATAAATACTTAGTATCAAAAGGAGGACGCTGAATCATACCTTACATTAAATTGGATAAATGGGTACACAATCTCTAACAGGTTAAGCATGGACAATCAATCACGGTCTGGATCTTATTTTGCACAATTAAATTGAGCTGACAAAACTTGTGAGATTATCTGGATGTCCACACTTTCCTGGGAAATTGAAAATACAAAATGAACTACAGCTTCATTCATGAACTGGTGATTGCAAGGTTAACTATTTAAGCAGAATAAGGCAAAATTTTCCCAGAGATTCTGTCTTACAGCCTTCCAAATCTTCAGATTCCTTGGTGTCCTGCATCATTTGAAGTTTGAACGATATTACATCAAATCAAAACATATTCCTCAAGATCAAGTTTAACTTCAAAAAAACAGCATAACAGTTGCTTTATAAAACCTCCGGAATCACATATTTCTAACACCATCTCGGGGACACGCCAACAATCAAACCTTGGAAGTTTTGCAATATGTAAGATCTGAACTAAAATGGCCTTCATCAAGAGGTTTAAGTAAACAGTAGGCAGCTTTCTTTAGAGTAACATAGTAAGTTGCACACCAGAATCTTAAAAAGAAGCCTTAACTATATCTATTTTGGTGGGTAGCAAATAAAAATTTCGATGAACAAGTTTATCTCGTAGCTGCCAACAACTGATCATCATTCGCAAACCACAGAATCACATTTATCAAGTAGTCTACATAGTCTGACTAATATGAGTCCAAGTCTCTAGCTGAAATTTTAGGGCATCCAATCAGATGTTTGCCTCACTAGATATAGTCTTATAAACCTCGAAGTTGTTCCCCTTTGTTCCGATTGGAATTTTGGAACTCAGAACTTTCTCAGTTCCATTCCCTGTTGAGAATTCTCAAAAATGTAAACGAGTTATCGACATGATGCACTTGTTTGTTAACCAATCAGAATAAATAATGCCCGGTTTCTCCATGTTACAAGTGCGTCCATTCATTTTTTCGTATTTTTTGAATTATACTTTCGGTATTCAAATTCATTATTTTACTTAATCTAAATTGAAATCAAATAAGTTTTGTTCGAGAAATAAAATTTTCTCAATAAATATTCTAATCACCATCGCATAATTTTTATATTGATTTTTTTTTTTTTTTGTATATTACTCCCAAGATTACATTTCTTTGATAAAGCTTTTTTTTTGTTGGTTCTTTTTGGGCTATACTAAAACTCGGTATAGGTTTCAGTTTTATAAAATATATGCCACTTGACATTGTTAGAGTACTTGTCATCATAAGTGTATATATGCCCTGGAAACTATTATCCAAATTGAATTTTTAGTTTTAATTTAATTTATATTAAAAATAAAGATCTAAATTATCACAATAATTTCAGAATAGAGGGAGTACTAAACATAATACTATCCTAGTCAAAAAAAAATAAAAAAATAATTCAGTAGACATAATACATTCGAATCGAGGTGCACTATTTATTCATAATCGTTTTTATCCTTTTATTTTATGTTTTGAGATCTGATTCCATACGTTTATCTAGTGAACCTTTAAGTTAATGTCACTTCGTGGTTCTAAAAAATACTAATAGTAAGAAAAATACTCTTTCTTGGAAAACAATTATAAAGCCAAACCGGTTTCAGTTGCGAACCGGGGTATACAAGGATCTGGTTTTCCCCTTTTCTCCGCATAAATACACATTCTTAGAACTAAAAACCCAACTCAGACGAGGCTCTCAAACTCTTCCGCCCAAATTCTCCAAACGCAATTTATTTCTTCGATTAATCTTCAGGTGCGGTTTCTTCAAAGCTTTCAATTTAGACTCTCTAATGCCTTATCTAAGTTGATTCTTCAATTGATGCTGCCCTCCAAAGTTTGTATTTGAGGGATTTATACTGGATATCTGCTCATTGATCTAAAGAATAGTATCCGTTATTTATCATTCTCGTTCTCGTATATTCCGATAGGTATGTTCTAGGGTTTTGTTTTTTTTTTTTTGGTTCCGACGTGTGGACGTGATGTTTTGTTTTTCCCAAATTGAGTTCTTTGTATGACGGAAGTACTTTGGTTTGGGGTAGGTTAATTTGTGATGAATTGCACATTTTTTGGATCAATATTAATTGTACATTTATGTAAATGAATTCTGAAATTCAGTTACTTGAATTTTCTTCTTCTTTTTTTTTTTTTTCTGTTGATAATTTGTTACTTGAATTTTCTGAAAGGAGTAATCTTGACTTTAGCATAAGGAACTGCCCAGTTCTGCTGTGATTTGCCTTTACTTTGTATTTGTAGTTAGAAAGGAATTTTTTGATTAGGTTCAAAAGCTGCTACTATAAGAATAGGGTAGGAAGTCAGATTATTGCTTTATGGGACATCTTATAGTCTCATGAATTGTTTGAACATTTGTTTTAGTATTTTGTTGGAGCCAACAGCTCTCTTTTTTGCTGTCTTTGTTGTTGTCTTTGTTGTGTTGGTCATTTGTTTCGAAATAGCTTTGCTTTAAATTCCTTCACACTACAGTACCTTGTGTACAGGACACCCTCTGTTCAGTTTATCTGTGTATTCTTTCAGCTTATGTTGTATTCAATTTGAATTCAGGTCTGAGCTGTTGCCATGGCTACATCTCATCTACCAGCTAATACGGATTCCCTCGCGCATGCTTCTGAAGCCAAAACCCCAGCCGAGTCCATTTCTATTCTTTATCGGGTACTTGATGATCCTTCTACTTCTCAAGAGGCCATAAGGATTAAGGAGCAAGCCATCACAAATCTATCGGATCTTCTTAGACAGGAAAATAGGGCACAGGAACTTACCAACCTCTTGACCCAACTTCGTCCCTTCTTTTCGATAATCCCCAAGGCAAAAACAGCGAAAATTGTTCGTGGGATCGTTGATTCATTAGCCAAAATACCTGGTACATCTGATCTTCAGATTGCACTTTGCAGAGAAATTGTAACATGGACCCGAGCTGAGAAGCGAACTTTCCTTCGCCAGCGGATTGAGGCAAAGCTTGCAGCTCTGTTGTTGGAGAATAAGGAGTATACTGATGCTTTGGCCCTCCTGTCTGAACTTATCAAAGAGGTGAGAAGACTGGATGACAAGTTGCTTCTTGTTGAGATTGACTTGCTGGAGAGCAAGCTCCATTTTTCCTTGAGAAATCTACCCAAGGCCAAAGCTGCGCTTACTGCTGCGAGAACGGCAGCAAATTCAATTTATGTTCCTCCAGCACAGCAGGGCACGATCGATTTGCAAAGTGGGATTCTCCATGCCGAGGAAAAGGACTATAAAACAGCTTACAGCTATTTCTATGAGGCATTTGAAGCTTTTAATGCCCTTGAAGATCCTCAGGCCATATTTAGCCTTAAGTACATGTTGCTGTGCAAAATCATGGTTAGCCAGGCTGATGATGTGGCTGGAATAATATCATCACCCAAGGTGGGCTTGCAATACCAGGGTCCAGAACTTGATGCAATGAAAGCAGTTGCCAATGCTCATTCCAAACGCTCTCTTAAGCTTTTTGAGACAGCTCTTCGGAATTATCGGGAACAGTTGGAAGGTGATCCGATTGTCCACAGGCACCTTTCATCACTCTATGACACTTTGTTGGAGCAGAATCTTTGCAGGTTGATTGAACCATTCTCCAGGGTAGAAATAGCTCATATTGCCGAACTGATTGAGTTGCCAGCTGACCATGTTGAGAAGAAGCTATCGCAGATGATTCTGGATAAGAAGTTTGCTGGAACTCTGGATCAGGGGGCAGGTTGCCTTGTGATATTTGACGATCCCAAAGCAGATGCCATTTACCCAGCCACTTTGGAAACCATTGAGAACATGGGAAAGGTTGTGGACAGTTTGTTTACAAGATCTGCCAAGATAATGGCTTGATGTCCTCTCTCTCGGCTTTTTGTTCTCATTTACGCTTGATGCGTGTTGAGCATGGTCTGTTTAACTTCCCGGTTGATCTGGGAGTTATGCATCCTGGAACAGTTTATTTTAGTTGTTGGATATGTAGCTCTTTATTCAAGTGTCAGGACAGTTCTCTTCTGGTTTTATGAATTATCAAGCTTTTTTTTAATCATTTCTATTCCTATGATTTGAGTTCTAACTGTTGCATAACTGTCTTTTTCCCATCTTGATGTTTGGTTGTTTTCTTTGAAAAACTTCCATTTTGGGTATTATGGTGCGATACGCTTTAGCTTGTTTCATAAGCACATTTTTGGATTGACTATACTCATTAAAATTACTGTTACATGGGGGATAGTGGACTGAGAGTCTGGAGGGGATCTTCTCTCCATTGTTTTCTTTTGGAGAACTGGAAGTGTTTAAGCACAGTAAAACTGGAGGTGGATAACTTTGAAAGTTGATGTGAAAATCACAGAAGGAATTTGTTTTGTGAGTTTGGATCTTGGAAGAAGCAACATTGTAGAATGTCTTTCCAACAGAAGAATAATTAATAAAAATGTACTTCAGTTGTCCAAAAATAATTTGTTATTAAAAGTAAAAATCCAAGTTGAATAATAATTTCAAAACAAAGGGAGTACTGCATTAATCAAAGCAAGTTTTCTTGCAAAATTGAGGAGTGACAATGTTGACATTATGTAACTGATAAAGGATATGATCTAGGGGTGTTCACGGTTCGGATTGGTCCGGATTAGCCGTAATCCGTAATCAAACCGTTCATTACGGTTTTAAAATTTTTGAAACCGTAACCGGACTGGATTGATGTATAAACCGGACGAATCCAATCCATTTTGAACTGTTTGGTTTGGGCGGATTGACGGTTTGGACTTCTAATTGGGCTTTTCTATTTTGGGCAAAAGATTGAACTTTTTTTTGTTATGGAATCTTTTTTCGGCCTCTTTTGAGGGTTTTTTATGAATTTTTTTGGCCTTTCTTCCGGCCTGTTTGGGTTTATAGTTTGGCCTGTTTGGGGATAAAATGGGAGGAAAAAAGTGTTTGGGGAGAAAATGGGAGGAAAAAAAAATTTGTGAATGGGGGACTCGAACACGGAACCACGCAACCTCCAGCAAATGTAAAAGTAGGGGGAACAACAATACTAATGAGCCAACTTAACATTTTTGATACAAGCCATCATCCGCCTATATATATACAAAAACTATTATATTATTAATAATAATGTAAATATATACGGTCCGGTCCGGTTTGACAGACGGTTTGAAAGTGTGAATCTGTAATCCGGACCGGTATGACCGGTTTTTGATTTTTCAATCCGCCGATTTAAAAATACAATTAAAACCCGTTCGCTAAACCGAACCGATGACCGGATTGGACGGTTCCACCGGTTTGAGCCAAACCGTGAACACCCCTAATATGATCAATAATTGATCTGTTTGGAATATTTCAATTTAAAGTGCAAATAATCTTGACCAGACAGTCATTTAAAAATCGATGTAGCAATGTGCTTTGGAAATTTTTCATCAAAGGAACAAAAATGGTTTGGACTCACCTTTTTTCTTTACTTTTTTTGGTTTCTTTTTGTTGTTTCAGTGTATGTGTTTTGTTGAAATATAGTAGTATTAAAGAGTGTAGTAAAAGTATAGACATTTGGCAAAATAAATACATTAATATTTAATGAAAAATATGGGGAAAAAAATGTGCGTATCCAAAACAAATTTTAGATACAGTCCCCCCAAAATGAATGAGAAAAGGATTTTAAGAAGATTGGATTTGGCCTTCAGAACAAACGTGCTTGGAAAACCACGCTTTACTAACAAAAGAAGGTGGCGGTGGTGGAAACAACAACGCGCCTCTGTCTCTCTCACTCTCCGACCCAAAACTCCCTCGGCCCCACGCCACCATCCATGGCCAATTCCTCGTAGTCTGCTCCGCCATTGACCGCCGTAGTGATCCCCTCAGACGGCGGCAGTATCTTAGCTCAAATCGCCATCGAAATCGAAGTACATTTCTGCTCTTCACACATCAGTGAGTAAAATTCTCTCTCACTACTTATCTTCTTTTTCAAAGTTTATCTAATGCGAACATCTCTCATCGTAGTTAGTCGATTTTACTGTTTGGATATGTATTTGGACGTCTTGTTTTGATCACTTCCTGCTTCAGCGCTTTCTGTTGTCGGAACTGCTATATGCAGTTACCGATGTTCTTTTTTGATTTCTTTATTTATTTTTCAAATTGATCGAATTAGATCTGAGATTCGCTTGTTGCACTAATGTGGACACTGTTGATATCAGAACGGTTCCCTTTTCTGTGTTCATTTCTGTACCATAAGAGCGCACTCTGGTTGAGCTTCAACTGTATCTCCTTTTCACAGTGTCTCAGTCTTGGATTTTGTTTTGTTTACACAAAATTTCAGTTTGTTGCGAAATAATTTTGTTTGCACGCTTCTTAAAACAGCTAAAATCCTCAGTATGTTGATCTTTATACTAACATTGGGAACTTGTATATGCTTTTCTCCTTTGATCAGGTTCTGGAGTTTCTCTGTAGATAGTGTGTGATTGTGGTGGAAACTAGTAAGAATGGGGAGATTACGGCTACAATCTAGTATCAAGGCAATTGAGGAGGAACCGGAAGACTGTGAGGCTACCTCGTCCAGTAAAGCTGCAATAGCAAGTATGGTTAATTCAGAAGTAGGAGCTTTATTGTCAATTATGAGGAGGAATGTGCGGTGGGGAGGCCGTTACGTTTCTGGAGATGACCAGCTTGAGCACTCCCTCATCCAGTCTCTCAAGACTTTGAGAAAACAAATTTTTTCTTGGCAGCATCATTGGGATGCTATCAATCCTGTTTTATATCTGCAGCCGTTTTTGGATGTAATTAAATCTGATGAAACAGGTGCACCCATCACTAGTGTTGCGTTGTCATCTGTTTATAAGATTTTAACTCTTGATGTGCTTGATTTGAGTACTGCCAACATTGCGGATGCGATGCATTTGGTAGTTGATTCTGTGACTAGCTGTAGATTTACGATAACTGATCCGGCATCAGAAGAAGTGGTATTCATGAAGGTTCTTCAGGTTCTTTTGGCTTGCATGAAAGGCAAAACATCTGTGGTTTTAAGTAATCAACATGTGTGCAACATTGTGAAGACGTGCATTCTGGTTGTTCAGCAAGCTCGCACCAAGGGTGAGTTATTACAGGGGGTAGCTCGGCACACTATGCATGAACTTGTTAGATGTATCTTTTCACATCTTCCCGATGTTGACAAAGCTGATCGTTCTGTGGTTAAAGGCAGCAATTCCATCAAGCCTGAGGTGTGTTTTCTTCTTTTTCTTTTTAGATTGTGAACCCATTTTTCCTTGTATTCTTATCGATTAAGTTTTGAAATAAAGGAAATCCGACCTAAAATCAGAAAAATAAAATAAATAGAAAGAGACAATGTATCAAGGGTGATTATTGTCTTCCTGCTGGGTCAGAAACCTTCACCTTCAGTTTATGTATTTTTATGTTCAAAGTGGTTAGATGCAATGTGTTCTGTTATCGTGGAAGAAGAGGACCTTCAGAATAAAATTAGTTGGTCATGAACAACCTCCTGTCAAAGCACCTTTCCTGCACCATGCCCTTCTATTATTCTGTCCTTTGATTAATGTTGTATTACTCTCATCTTGGTGATATCATTTTCTTACTAGGTAGCATCCTTTACGTGTTTAAGTTTGTTTTGTTCTTATCATACTCAAATTTTTGTTCCATATAAGTTGTTTGCGGTGAGTGGGATAGTCTATTTGGGTTATCAATCTTGAACATATTTGTAGCATTTATGGGTTGTTCTTGTTAAAGGAATATCTCCAATGAGGTGCTTTTTTATGACACACTTATCTATGTCCATCCAGAGAGTAGTCAGCTTAAAGAAATTAAAAATTCTGGAGGTATTCGGTAGTTTTAAGTTATGGGTATGTGGTGTATATAATTTGAGTTTCTTACACGGAGTGTGTACCATGGTGCATGCTGTAATGACTGAGTGTGTATGTGGCTGCTTTTTTGGTTATGAATGATTTCATCTAAATAATGGTGAGTACGATGTTCCATGCAGGTTGATGGCATTGATGCAGACTACAGTTTCATTGGTAAAGAGAATGGCAGTGAGTATGAAAGTCAACTATCATCTGGAGCTTTTGCTTCTGCGGCTTCTGCTGCTCTTAGTGATAATTTTCCGAAGACTGATAATGGAAAGGATACCGTTCCTTATGAATTGCATCCATATGGTGTCCCTTGCATGGTTGAAACATTCTACAACCTTTGTAAATTGCTTGTCGAACATGAGGAAATGGGACCCAGAGCAAATTCCATGGCATTTGATGAGGATGAAGCCCTTTTTGCTTTAGGTTTGATTAATTCAGCTATTGAACTGGGTGGCCCTGCTATCCGCCGTTACCCTCGATTGTTGAGCTTGGTCCAGGATGCACTATTCAGTAATCTAATGCATTTCAGTCTGTCGATGAGTCCACTAATTCTTTCAATGGTCTGCAGTATTGTTCTGAATCTTTACCAGCACCTGCGCATGGAACTCAAGTTACAGCTGGAGGCTTTCTTTACCTGTGTGATATTGAGGCTCTCCCAAAGCCGTTTTGGGGCGTCATATCAGCAGCAGGAGGTTGCCATGGAAGCCCTAGTTGATTTCTGTCGGCAAAAAACTTTCATGGTGGAGATGTATGCAAATCTAGATTGTGATATAACTTGCAGTAATGTGTTTGAAGAGCTTGCAAATCTACTCTCTAAGAGTGCATTTCCTGTGAATAGTCCTTTATCTGCAATGCACATTCTTGCATTGGATGGCCTTATAGCAGTAATTCAGGGTATGGCTGAGAGGGTAGGAAATGGATCATTTAGTTCAGAATATGGCCCAGTAAATCTTGAGGAATATACTCCATTTTGGATGCTCAAGTGCGAGAATTATAATGAACCAGATAATTGGGTTCCCTTTGTCAGGAAGAGGAAATACATCAAGAGACGCTTGATGATTGGAGCTGACCATTTCAACAGGGATCCGAAGAAAGGGTTAGAATTTCTCCAGGGAACGCACCTTTTGCCTGAAAAACTTGACCCCCAAAGTGTGGCTTGTTTTTTCAGGTATACTGCAGGTTTGGATAAAAATCTTGTTGGAGATTTTCTTGGAAATCATGATGAATTCTGTGTTCAGGTTCTTCACGAGTTTGCTAGAACATTTGATTTCCAAGATATGAAACTAGATACAGCATTGAGGCTATTCTTGGAGACTTTTCGACTGCCTGGAGAATCTCAAAAAATCCAGAGGGTGCTCGAGGCATTTTCAGAAAGATATTATGAGCAATCACCACAGATTCTAGCGAATAAGGATGCTGCTCTCTTGCTATCTTACTCATTAATTATGCTCAACACAGACCAGCATAATGTCCAGGTGAAGAAAAAGATGACCGAAGAGGACTTCATTCGAAATAATCGACTTATAAATGGAGGTAGTGATCTCCCACGTGAATTCTTATCGGAGTTGTATTATTCTATCTGCAAGAATGAAATCCGAACTACACCTGAACAAGGATCTGGATTTTCAGAAATGACCCCAAGTAGATGGATTGATTTGATGCACAAATCAAAGAAAAGTGCTCACTACATTGTTTCAGATTCCAGAGCATACCTTGATCATGACATGTTTGCTATAATGTCCGGTCCGACTATTGCCGCCATTTCTGTTGTCTTTGACCATGCTGAACATGAAGAAGTTTACCAAACCTGTATTGATGGGTTCTTAGCTGTTGCAAAAATTTCAGCATGTCATCATCTTGAAGATGTGTTGGATGATCTTGTTGTGTCTCTCTGTAAGTTTACAACATTGTTAAATCCCTCACCAGTTGAAGAACCTGTCCTGGCGTTTGGTGATGATATCAAGGCTCGGATGGCCACTGTCACTGTTTTCACTATAGCTAACAGGTACGGTGATTTTATCCGCACTGGATGGAGAAATATTTTGGATTGTATCTTAAGGCTGCATAAGCTTGGTCTTCTTCCTGCTCGGGTTGCTAGTGATGCAGCTGATGACTCAGATATGTCTCCTGAACCGGGACAGGGAAAGCCGCTCACTAATTCTTTATCTTCTGTTCAAGTGCAAGCTATTGGTACTCCTAGAAGATCCTCTGGGTTGATGGGGAGATTCAGTCAGCTGCTATCATTGGATACAGAGGAGCCAAGGTCTCAACCTACTGAACAACAACTTGCTGCTCACCAGCGCACTCTTCAGACAATTCAGAAATGTCATATTGATAGCATATTCACTGAGAGTAAATTTCTTCTGGCTGAGTCTTTGTTGCAGCTTGCACGTGCTCTTATTTGGGCTGCAGGGCGGCCTCAAAAGGGTAACAGCTCTCCTGAAGATGAGGATACTGCTGTTTTTTGTTTGGAGTTGCTTATTGCTATTACACTTAATAATCGGGACAGGATTGGACTTCTTTGGCAAGGTGTGTATGAACACATTGCTAGCATTGTACAGTCGACCGTAATGCCTTGTGCCCTTGTTGAGAAAGCTGTTTTTGGCCTCCTCCGTATTTGTCAGAGGCTCCTTCCTTACAAAGAGAACTTGGCCGATGAGCTGTTGAGATCTCTGCAACTAGTTCTCAAACTTGATGGCAGGGTTGCTGATGCATATTGTGAGCAGATAACTCAGGAAGTAAATCGTCTGGTCAAAGCAAATGCTTCGCATATAAAAACACAAATGGGATGGCGAACTATAACATCTTTACTTTCATTTACGGCCAGACACCTGGAAGCTTCGGAACCGGGGTTTGATGCCCTGTTATTTATCATGTCTGATGGAGCTCACTTGTCACCAGCTAATTATGTTCTTTGCATAGATTCAGCGAGACAATTTGCAGAGTCTCGAGTTGGACAGGTCGAAAGGTCTGTTCGTGCAGTGGACCTTATGGCTGGTTCTGTTACTTGTTTAACCCGGTGGGATGAAGAAGCTAAGGGATCTGTGGTGGAGGTTGATGCAATGAAAGTTTGCCAGGAGATAGGGGAGATGTGGTTGAGGCTGACCCAGGCATTGAGGAAAGTTTGTTTGGACCAGCGAGAGGAAGTCAGGAACCATGCTCTTTTATCACTGCAAATGTGCTTGACAGGAGTAGAGGGAGTTAAAATCCCACATAATTTGTGGTTGCAGTGCTTTGATATGGTGATATTCACGATGCTTGATGACTTGATTGAAATAGCACAGGGGCATTCCCAGAAGGATTATAGAAACATGGAAGGAACTCTTGTCCTGGCCCTGAAGCTCCTGTCTAAGGTGTTTCTACAACTACTTGTGGAGTTATCGCAGCTGACGACCTTCTGCAAACTATGGCTGGGTGTACTTAGTCGGATGGGGAAGTATATGATGGTGAAAGTCAGAGGTAAAAAGAGTGACAAGCTGCAGGAATTAGTTCCAGAGCTGCTGAAGAACGCGTTTCTTGTGATGAAGACAAAGGGTGTCCTGGTTCAAAGAAGTGCTCTTGGAGGGGATAGCCTGTGGGAGTTGACAAGGTTACATGTACATAATAATCTTCCTTCTCTGGAGTCTGATTTATTCCCCGATAAAGATTCTGAACCATCAAACCAGGATCAAGGTGCAGGTACCGAAAATTCATTGTCAAATCAAACTGGTTCTGCTTTGGAATAGCAGCATCCTTTCTTCTAGAGTTCTCGTATCTCTTTTATCTTTTGTGAGTATGCTTTGCAGGGTTAGCATTTAGGGTAACTGTAGAGGTTCTTTAGTTCTTTCCTCACGATATATCCTAGCGTATGGTTGAAGGCAGTGAGTTTCACAATGTTTTGTAGTTCAGGTAGGGCATGGTGATCTGATCTTTTGTTTTGTCTTGTTACCAGAAGAAAGGGAGTAGGAGCTTCTCAGGCATAGAATTCGAATGATCATATTGTACAGAATCAGTTGTAATATGTAACCCCCCAAGTGTGTTATTGTATTTGAATTTCATCGTGGTTGGAGTTCTATAATTCGGCCTTGGACTCCTGAAAGTTCATCGTGGAATGTGTGATTGCAGTTTGACATAATACGTAAGATATTAGAAATATATTGACCATGTTCAACCCCTTTGGTCGGAAAGAACGGATTTTGAGTCAGAAAGGATAAACAAATTTGGTCAATGCAACCTCAAATTCCCTGATTTCTGGATTTTGAGCATTCATCGGAAAAGCCACCGAAATCCTCTCACACTCCAATTTTTCTTCTGCAAGATGGATATAATGTAGTAGAGGTTGTTGACACATTACAGCCTATAACGTAGGAGAAGAATCAGCTACTGTAATTAGTCCTTAATTGCAGCCTTATTGATACTGATGATGAAAGCTTCCAAATTGATGGAAATATGCAGAAGATATTCCTTCCATGCAGAGCGTATTCTTTCTGCAGTACTCGAATGGAAACTTTTAAACAAATGCTCAAGAAACCACGCTTTACTTGGCGGTGGAGAAACCTCCAACGCCGCCTTCTCTCATTCCGACACAAAATTCCATCGGCACAACTCCGCAGGCCGTTTCGTCGCAGTCTGCTCCGCCATTGACCTCCTTAGTGATCTCCTTCATCACCGGAAGTCTTTAAAACCCAAAATTGCCGTAAAAAAAACGAAGCACTATTCTGGTGTCCACCACCGCGAGTAAAGTTCTCTTTCGCTATTATCTTTTCAAATGTTTGTCTTACGCCATATATCTCTCTTATCGTGGTTCATGATTTTATCGTTCAGACATGATAAAATTTTCTGATCACTTCATTCTTTATCGTTTCCCATTCAGAGAATTGTGATTTGCAGTTTACGAGGTTTTCTGTAGCATAAGAGTGTTCTTGTTTAGCTTATATGTCCTTTTTACATTGTCTCTGTCTTAGATTTCATTTTGTTGGGAAAAATCTTGTTTGGGCGTCATCCTATAGTAGCTAATAGGTTGACATTTGTACTAACAATGAGTTTATGCTTTGGTCAGGCTCCAGATTCCCTTAATATATAGAATTGTGTGATTTTGTTGGAAACAACTAAAAATGGGGACACCACGGCTACAATCTGGTTTCAAGGCAGTTGAGGGGAAACCGGAAGACTGTGTGCCTACCTTGTCCAGTAAAGCTGCGATAACCAGCATGGTTAACTCAGAAATAGGAGCAGTATTGGCAGTAATGAGGAGGAGTGGAAGATGGGGAGGTCGATATGCTTCTGCAGATGACCAGCTTAATCTCTCCCTCATCTAGTCTCTCAAGACTTTGAGAAATCAAATCTTTTCTTGGCAGCATCAGTGGCATGCTATCAATCCTGTTTTATATCTCCAGCCTTTTTTGGATGTAATTCAATCTGATGAGACAGATGCACTAACTGCTAGTGTGGCGTTGTCATTTGGTTGTTTATTCTGTGACTGGATGTAGATTTGATCCTGCCTCAGATGAAGTGGTATTCATGAATGTACTTCAGGTTCTTTTGGCATGCATGAAAGGCAAAACATCTGTGCTTTTAAGTAATCAAGATGTCTGCAAGATTGTGAAGACATGCATTCTGGTCATTCAACAAGCCCTCGCAAAGGGTGAGTTATTACAAGGGGTAGCTCGACATACTATACTATGCACGAACTTGTTAAATGTATATTTTCTCACCTTCCAGATGTTGACAAAGCTGATCTTTCTTTTCTTAAAGGCAGCAATTCCATGGTGTGTAAATTTTTTCTTGTTTGTAGTTAGTGAACCCATTTTCAAAGCTTTAATGTGTATTTATTATGTTTTGAAATTACCTGAAAACCGACCTAAATCAGAGAAAGAAATTTGCAGAGAAATAATCTTCCACGGCAATTTTCCTCTTCCTACCGAGTTAGAAATCTCCTGGCAAAGTGCACCACGCCCTTTTAGTATCCTGTCCTTCATTATAAGTTGCTATTACTCTCATCTTTATGATTTCATTTCTTCAATAGGTAGGAGCCTTTGTGTGTTTAGGATTTTTTCCTTGTTCGATATTCAATTTTTTGTTTCAAACAAGTTGTTTGCTTTCATTAATGTGATGTAGTGCACATTAGTATTATGATCATTGATTGCAATCTTTTCCAGTAATATCTGAATTTCAACAGAACTGATGTGCTTGTGTAGCACATATTACTTTTGAATCACATAAGTAATTTTCATGATTTATATAATGTGGCATACTTTACTGGAGCGCAAATTCTTTTTGCAATGGCTATGTACAGCCGAATTTTAAAACCATGCTCAAGTCTCTTCCTACGTTCTCTGCAACTTGAAAACAGTGTGGTCTATGAATGATCTTTTGCTGTGCCCAACAAACTAAGAGATCTTGAGTTTCAATTGTGGATTTAGTCCTTCACATGTATCTGTATCCATCAAAGAGTAGTGAATAGGGCCTTAAAGAAAAGTAAAAATGTTGTAGGTATATTACAGTAATGTCAAAATATAGGTTTGTAACGTATGCTAATTAGATGGTGGTGTGAAAGCATCCAGTGCATACCGTAACAACTTGTAGTCTGCGTGGCTGTATTATGTTTCTCCGGTTATGTATTACGCGATCTGAATGATGGGGTTTCCTTGCAGGTTGATGGCGTTGATGCAGACTACATTTTCATTGGTAAAGAGAAAGGAGATGAGTTTGGAAGTCAACTATCATCTGAAGATTTCACTTCTTCCACTGCTCTTAGTGGTGTGCCTGTTGATAGTTTATCCAAGACTGATATTGAAAAGGGTGCCGTTCCTTATGATTTGCTTCCATTTGGAATCCTTTGCATGGTTGAAACATTTTATAGTCTTTGTAAATTGCTGGTCAACCTGATGATGAAAAAGATCCCAGAGCCTATTCTAGGGAATTTGATGAAGATGAAGCCCTTTTTGCTTTAAATTTGATCAATTCAGCTGTTGAGTTGGGCGGCCCTGCCATTCGTCATCACCCACAATTGTTGAGTTTGGTGCAGGATTCACTGTTCAGTAATCTGATGCATTTCAGTCCGTCAATGAGTCCACCGATTCTTTCGATAGTCTGCAGTATTGTTCTGAATCTTTACCAGCACTTGCGAGTGGATCTCAAGTTACAGCTTGAGGCTTTCTTTACCTGTGTGATATTGAGGCTCTCCCAAAGCCGTTATGGGGCTTCATATCTGCAACAGGAAGTTGCCATGGAAACCCTAGTTGATTTCTGTCGGCAAAATACTTTTATGGCTGAGATGTACGCAAATTTTGATTGTGACATAACTTGCAGTAACGTGTTTGAACAGCTTGTAAATCTACTCTGCCAGAGTGCTTTTCCCGTGAATAGTCCTTTATCTGCAATACACATTCTTGCCTTGGATGGTCTTATTGCAGTAATTCAGGGTATGGCTGAGAGGATAGGACATGGATCATTTAGTTCAGAATATGGCACAGTAACTCTTGAGGAGTTTGCTCCATTTTGGATGCTCAAGTGCGAGAATTATAATGAACCAGATAATTGGGTTCCCTTTGTAAGGAAGAGGAAATACATCAAGAGACGCTTGATGATTGGCGCTGACCATTTCAACAGGGATCCGAAAAAAGGGTTTGAGTTTCTCCTACGAACACATCTTCTGCCCGAAAAACTTGACCCCCAAAGTGTTGCTTGTTTTTTCAGGTATACTGCAGGTTTAGATAAAAATCTTGTCGGCGATTTTCTTAAGAATCATGATGACTTCTGTGTTCAGGTTCTCTTCCAGAGTTTGCTAGAACATTTGATTTCAAAGATATGAATCTGGATACAGCATTGCGGTTATTCTTGGAGACCTTTCGACTGCATGGAGAACCTCAACAGATCCAGAGGGTGCTTGAGGCTTTTTCAGAAAGATACTATGAGCAATCACCACAGATTCTAGCGAATGAAGATGTTGTGTTTGTGGTTTCTTACTCATTAATTATGCTCAACACTGACCGGCATAATGTCCAGGTGAAGAACAAGATGACGGAAGAGGCCTACATTCGGAATTTGCTGCGTGAATATAATCTCTCACCTGAATTCTTATCGGAGTTGTATAATTCTGTCCGCAAGAATGAAATCCAAGTTACACCAGAACAAGGTGCTGGATTTGCAGAAATGACCCCATGTAGATGGATTGATTTGATGCATAAATCAAAAAGAAGCACTCAATACATTGTTTCAGATTCTAGAGCGTACCTTGATCTTGACATGTTTCTAAAAATGTCAAGTCCGACTGTTTTTGCCATTTCTGAAGCCTTTGACAATGCAGAAGATGAAGATGTTTGCCAAACATGTATTGATGGATTCTTAGCTGTAGCAAAAATTTCAGCTTTTCACTGTCTTGAAGATGTTTTATATGATCTTGTTGTGTCTCTCTGTAAGTTTACAACATTGTTAAATCCATCTACAGCTGAGGAACCAGTTTTGGCATTTGGTGGTGATATCAAGGCCCAGATGGCCACTATCACCGTCTTCACTATAGCTAATAGGTATGGTGATTTTCTCCACACTGGATGGAGAAATATCTTGGATTGCATCTTAAAGTTGCATAAGCTTGGTCTTCTTCCTGCTCGGTTAGCTGGCAATGCAGCTGATAACTCAGATATGTCTCTCGAGCCAGGACAGGTGCAAGCTATTGGTACTCCTCGAAGATCTTCTGGGTTGATGAGGCGTTTCAGTCAGCTGCTATCTTTGGACCCAGAGGAGCCAAAGTCTCAACCGAGAGAACAACAACTTGCTGCTCACGAATGGTCTTTCCAGACGATTCAAAAATGTCAAATTGACAGCATATTCGCAGAGAGTAGATTTCTTCTGGATGACTCTTTGTTACAGCTTGCAGGTGCACTTGCATGGGCTTCCGGGCGACCTCAGAAGGGTAGTAGCTCTCCTGAAGATGAGGATACTGCTGTTTTTTGTTTGGAGTTGCTTATTGCAATTACACTTAACAATCGGGACAGGATTGGACTGCTCTGGCAAGTTGTGTATGAACACATAGCTAACACTGTTCAGTCAACTGTAACGCCTTGCGCCCTAGTTGAGAAAGCTATTTTTGGCATCTTTCATATTTGTCAGAGGCTCCTTCCTTACAAAGAGAACTTGGCTGATGAACTGTTGAGATCACTGCAACTAATTCTCAAACTTGAAGCGAGGATTGCTGATGCATACTGTGAGCATATAACTCAGGAAGTAAATCGTCTTGTCAAAGCAAATGCATCTCACCTAATAACAAAAATGGGATGGCGAACTATTGCATCTTTACTCTCTGTTTCAGCCATACACCCAGAAGCTTCTGAGGCAGGATTCGATGCTCTACTATTTATCATGTCTAATGGAGCTCACATGTCACCAGATAATTATATTCTTTGCATACATTCAGCATGACAGTTTGCAGAGTCTCAAATTGGACAGGTCGAAAGATCTGTTCGTGCAGTCGACCTTATGGCTGGCTCTGTTGTTTGTCTAACAAGGTGGGATAAAGATAGCAAGGGATGTACAATGCAGGTTGATGCAATGGAAGTTTGCCAGGAGATAGGAGAGATGTGGTTGAGGCTGACCCAGGCATTGAGGAAAGTTTGTTTGGACCAGCGAGAGGAAGTCAGGAACCATGCGCTTTTATCACAGCAAATGTGGTTGAGTGGAGTAGAGGGAGTTAAGAAAATCCCACATAATTTGTGGTTGCAGTGTTTCGACATGGTCATATTCACCATGCTTGATGACTTGATTGCAATAGCACAGGGACATTCCCAGAAGGATTACAGAAACATGGAAGGAACTCTTGTCCTGGCCCTGAAGCTCCTGTCTAAGGTGTTTCTACAACTACTTGTGGAGTTATCGCAGCTGACGACCTTCTGCCAGAATAAGGGAGTAGCATATATATATCAGGCATAATAGTAGAGTATTCAACTGATCATATTGTACACAACTGTTGTAAAGTTTATGAATTTCCATCCAGATTGACATTCTAACTCCTGGCTTGAAGTCATGATTGCATTTGGTTGTTTTGTGCAAGTAAAAAAATCATTCGGCAAATTTTGGAGTGTTATTTCAGAACCTCAAATATTTTATTGGATAAAAAAAGGAATATAATGATATCTTAAATACACTTAAATAGATATGTTGTTCCAAAGACAGTGGATTCGGACAGTTTTATCTAGAGATTTTAATCTCCTTAGATGTAAAAAAAGACAGTGTGGAAAATTTGCATAGAATGACTAAAGTTAGTCTAAACCTTGAAATCCTTTTGTAACATATTTTCTTGTTATATTACGCAATCCACATCCAACGTCTCTGTCTTAACTAATCCTTTTGCAAAATGCAATATGATTATTTTATTTAGAAAGGAGAAAAAAAAAGAAGTGAATTTGAAACACTGAAGGGTTTAAATTTAGGGCTTAAGATGACAAAAAAAAAAAGGAAAAGAAAATACCGTTAAGATAACATTTCTATCATCATGTCACGATGACAATCCTTTCCGGACGACATCGTTTTAGGTTTTACACCCCACCCCCTCAATACGGGTTTTTAAAATCCCAAGTCAGAAATGGTAAACAACTTAGTCAATGCAACCTCATTTAAATTTAGTTCTGAATTTAATCATCGGAAAAGCTACCTAATCCTCTCCACCCAATCATCTCCGATCAGGTACCTTGTAATATTTCATTAACCGACTCTCTGAGTTCGTGTATTCTGTGTTTTTTTCGTTGTTTGATCGCTAGGGCTTTCGATCATTTGTTTGTTTATGGTTATCAAGGTCTCGATCGTGCGATCGACAATTTTGAGAACTTGATCTTTATGTTTTTCTTTTTTTTTTTTTTTGTGGGACAAGGATTGAGCTGTGGGGAGGAAGATGAGCGGAGTATTCGAAGGATACGAGAGGCAGTACTGCGATCTCTCTGCCAATTTATCTAGAAAATGTAACGCCGCTGCTCTTCTTCCTGATGGAGGTACAAAACAATTGGATTTCCGAGATCTTATGAATTAATCTTATGCTGTACGTTTTCAGTATAACTCATATATATGCTGAGATGATTTTTTTTGCTTGAATTTGGTTGAGTTGATGAGATGATATGATATTTTGCATTTTTGTTCGGTACCTTAATTTTAACTTCCTTTTTTTGAGTTATACAAGATAGGATATAAGCACGGAAATAGCTGATAGGGAAATCTTGCGATAAATATATTAAAAATCTGACAAAGATGAATGATATTGGTTGTCAATTTTTAAGGAAATGTAACTAAGAAACACAAACTGATGTGGTGTCTTTAGTGCTGAGATCTGCATTTGACTGGAGAATGTAAATGTGTGTTTTTTTAGAGAATAGAAACCATTGAGGATTTGAGATTGTCTGGCTGTTGTCTTAGTTGCTAAACTCGACTCTTATCTAGTTTCTGGTCTAAAGATAGTTCTGATGCTGTGAGTCTTGTGCTTATCTTAATAAGCCTTTTGTGATGTTAATTCCTGCTTCTGGTTGTCCTTTCAGAAATTTGTGATATGTTTTCCCTGAAAGTGATATGACTCCGTGTTCCTGTTGGAGAGGAACAAGTAGATTATTGTGTCTCAGTTACTTGTCTACATGTATTTTGCTGTTCCAATTGTAGTCATGATGAAGGGGAATATTCTGACTACTTCTTTACAAGAATGACAACCTTACTCTTTCTTACAAAAAATTTGCCCAGCACAAAACATTCCCTGTCAACTGGATTAAATGATCTGGTCAAGCATGTTCCGCTTTTCACTGTAATGGGATTTTCCATCTGATATTGTCTGAAAATGAGGTTGATTGTTGGAATTTAAGTGAATTCATTATCCTACATGTGTCTTTCATCTATAATAATAATTATTACTGTTCCTTTACTCGCTTGGCGTTGTCATATTTACAGAGCAAAAGAACCAAGAAATATCTGAAATTAAATCTGGGCTGGATGATGCTGATGTTCTGGTACTGCAACATTTTGGGCTTATTATTTAGCATTGTACCTTTTCTACTTTTCTCTTCTCATAGTCAAGTGTTGCTTTTGCCAGATAAGGAAAATGGACCTTGAGGCAAGAAGTTTGCAGCCTAGTTTGAAGGCTACTCTGCTTGCGAAATTACGGGAATACAAATCTGATTTGAATACTTTGAAAAGGGATATCAAGAAACTGACAGTCCCAAGTTCTAGTCAAGCTGCTCATGAGGCGCTGTTAGAGTCTGGATTGGCCGAGGTATATTTTAGTTTGCTGCTATCTTGATTCAGCCAATCCCATCTCCAATGAGAACTAGTGAATAATATGATTTTGATGTAGGAGTATCCATGATTTACTTCGTTGTACTTCTATGTGGTTAACAGTCATTGGTGCTTTTCTGGATCTGTTTTCTCATTTCCCATTAACAGATGGATTGATTGTAGTCGATCAACTAGTGCCTTTATCTAGACAATCTCGATGGTCATTCCCTGAGTGTGTTCCTTTATCTGCAGTCTTATTTTTAATCAGTAGAATATCTGTTGGACTGATGAAGGATTTGTTTAGGTCTCTGCCAACCAAAGAGAAAGGTTAATGATGTCAACAGAGAGGCTGAATCAGTCAACTGACAGAGTTAAGGAGAGCCGAAGACTTGCTCTTGAGACAGAAGACCTAGGTGTATCAATTCTCGAGGATTTGAATCAGCAACGTGAAACTCTGCTACAAGCTCATACAAAGGTACATCCATTTACCTTCTCTGAAGTATTCTGCTCACAGTTAACAGGAAAGAAAAAGGGAAGTATTCTGCTCACCCCTGTACTTGACAGTAATAGCCGTATGATATAGTGTATCATGTGTGAGAAATTGAGAAGAAGTTTTTATGTATTACTCTATACTTTTAGATGGTTGCTACAGAAATGAATATTTGAATTGGATTTCTGTTTTTGTAGCTTCATGGAGTAGATGATGCCATAGATAAAAGTAAGAAAATCTTGACTTCCATGTCCAGAAGGATTACCCGGAATAAGTGGATTCTTGGCTCCATCATTGCATTCCTGGTGCTGGCGATTGTTGTTGTCCTGTACTTCAAGTTGTTCCATTGATAACTCTTCGATTCTTTCGTCACGTGTATATTCATCCATACCGTATCATTTTGGCATGTAATTTTAACATTCTACTGTTGTCATCTGTTGGCATTAGCCAACGTTGTGGTTGCCACCAAAGCTTTTTAATCGAAGCATGTTGCGTGTCTACAGCACAGTTACCCCCCGTTTCATCTATGGTTTTCAACTTCAACATTTTACCTACAGTCGTTCCAAATCTTTTTTCACTGACTGTAGGAGATGGTTGCCTCTCGTTGATGTTTCAAACTTAGGCTTGCCAACACAACACCATAAAAAAAACACAGAAGAAAATCATGGGAAAAGGAAGAAAACGTCCATTACAAATTAGAATGGAATCAGGGATGCGCCTTTTGCTTGTTCATTTGAGGCTATGTATTAACATCTATCCCAGTTTGCCTTTGATTATGAATAATTTTACACTTAAGCAGAGTAATAAACCTAAATTAAAGAAAAGAAATAAAGAGATACATGCCAAAACCCAAAAGATGAATACGAACTGAGAGTATGTAACTAATTTCCGCCCATCACCAAGAACAATTCCACTCGAAATTTCCAGGATGAAATCAAATGAACAAAAATTGGCTATCGCAAAATCGTAGACAATTGGAACTCTTTTCTTTTATTCTTTATTTCTTTTTTTTTCATTTATTTTTGAGGTTTCCAAATTGCCACAGGTCCCACGCTGCAAACTATGACCAAAAAAATATCTCCCCCGCCATCCCCTTTGATTCTTCGAACAGTTCCAAATCATTCAGCCTAACTTCACACTCCGTTTCTCAATTCCACAGTTCTTCTTCTTTACGCTGACACAAAGGATTAAACACTTTTCTATAGACGCTAAACCGAAGAAAGAAGAAAAAGAAAGGTTTTTTCAGCTTTCCTTTGAGGCACATCTTTAGCTTTGATATGATGGATTCAATATCATCGGTGTCACCATCTATAGTTCTTCCACCTAAAAGCAGCAACCCTCTTCAGAATACTCACCACCGGCAACGAATCATCACCTTCTCATCTCCATTCCTCAAACCCAGCTCTCAATTTCGTCTTTCATGGGTAAGGAGGCGATGCCATCATCACAGACAAGTGGGTCACCGGCAGAGGATTAGGATGGACGGGACCGCCGGCGCCGGCGGTGGAGAAAGAGAAGAAGATGAGAATCGTAGGAGGGATGAAGAGCTTGAGCGGGCTCTTCATATGGATGGTACTATTCCTGGGAGTTCTAACGAATTCGTTAAGCAAGTATCTTCTCGCGCTTATAACATGCGGAGCAATCTTCAACAAACTTTTGATAGCAGTAGCTATGATGGTAATTAATCCATTGGAATATTCTTTCTTTTTTTGTTTTTTCTTTTTTGGTTTTCTTTTCCCTCTATTATATGAACCTTTTGCTGGCCCTTACTGTAAATTTGCTTGACTTGATTTCAAAAGTTTCTAACATTTTCATTCCATTGTTTCTTCTTGTTTGCATGTTATTCCTCCGGACATGGCTGCTTTTTCCATCACCAACTTTGGTTTTTTGTGAATGGCAAAATTTCTATTCAGTTGTACTTCTTACTACAAAGCCATTCTATATCTTACTGTGGTTCTGCTTCGCTGGGCTTAGATATGCATTAGCTTCACAATTTGTGATGAGAGTTGGAACTGGCTAGTGGAATGGAGGCAGAAATGAGTGACCTTGTTGATCATGGACAGTCCCTTTTTATTTCACATGAACTCTGCTGCATTGCCATTATCCACGGCTCTTTTTCTGTGTCGTTTTTTCTAAATATTTCTGGATTCAAATGATCAACCACAAAGTGGCAGTGTCATCTAGGCATATCAAAGAAAGAAATCAAATAGGCTATTTGTATTGGGAAACATAAGAGCAAACTACCTGTGATCTGCCAGTATCCAGGACCTGTTTACTGTTTAGTTTAACATCTTGAGAGTCTTCTGAAATATGGTCTTTGATTATATACAAGCCAATTGCCTTCCATTTCCATGTGAGTTCAACTGTCACCGCCTAGGATTTAGTCCCTTCCAAGAAAGGCTTCAGAAAATTATGAATTTATGAAGTTCTTGAAGGTCTTCATTGTTTTGATGTCTTTTTTCCCTTTTCCAGTTCTGGAGGCTAATCCCTGGCGAGAATCCTCAAAACCTGTGTATGTGCTGACCCATGCTGAAAACCAGTTATGTACGATGAAAACCCGCAGAAACCGGAGGTGAATTTCCTCTCTCTATGTCTTAGTCTTTGTAAACAATTTCTGCCTGCATTGTTGATGTTCTGTTTCTGATGCAGCGAAGTTGAAAGAGAACTGGGTCTATTGTTTTCTAAAGGTAGCAAATGGAGAAATCAGGCCAAGCCTTCTGGGAATGGCTCAAAATTTCAAATGCTTGTTGAGGATATCAGGGAGTGTGTGCTAGTAAGTTCTTAATGTATTCTTCCTATTTCATTCCTAGGTGTCAAGCCAGCAGAATCTACATTTATAGGCCAAGCTTCAAGCATAGCCTTTGGCTTAAGTCCGCAAATGTGACTCCTAGTGCTAGGGCATGATTGTAGCATTATCTGAATCTCATCTTCAGCTACAAAGTGATGGAGCGATATTTCTGTTGCATGTCAGGTTTCATTTTCGGTTTGTGCACAAGGATCATGTAGTTTTAAAATTGCAGTAAAATGGAATTTTCTGTTGGTATTATGACATGAAGCAATAAATATGAACCGAAGTTTCATAGACACACCTAAGATCCATGAGTAAAGTCAGAATCAAATGTTTTGCATAAACATGTGCTGAAGCTTGCACTTCCTGTTGGTCGTCTCACGTCTGTAACTTCTTGTTCAGCTTAGCTTGACAGTCACTTTCAATCTGTGATCCTGATATGAAATTTCCACCACCTAAAGCTGTAATTCTTTCTTTTGTTGAAGGTGTTCGAAGATCAAAATGAAGCTGCAAAATATTGCGACTTGCTTCAAGGTGGCGGCCAAGATTGCGAAGGTGTTGCGGAGATTGATGCCTCATCAGTAAGCAGCACACTATAAGTTGGATATAAAGCTACTTTTCGTCTTTCATCTTGTACTCAGCATAATATATCTGCAGGTATTTGATCTCTGCCGAAAAATGAGAGCCCTTGCAGTATTGTTCCGCCGGGGGAGGACTCCTCCTCTGCCTGAAAGCTTAAAACTGAATTTGAGGGCTCGCAAGCGCTCCCTTGAGGACCAAGTAGACATATGATTCAGGTTCCTGGATTGCAAAGTTCTTGTGTATCTATAGTAATTTAACACATTTATGTTTCACAGCTTGTATAGCATTTCTGAAAATGGAAATTTGTATGTATAGTTTCATAGGTCGCACTGTAAGCCCCATTTCTTAATCAGTTGAAAACATTTGACAGGAGTATCAAATTATACTTTGGCACTTGTATCTGTTACGGAATTGTACGCTTAGTTACTTACCATCTAATTTGGTTGACAAATGAAGCTTAGAAAATCAAAATGAGAAGTGTCATGATGAATTTTATTCCTGGATCAGCGTCAGGTCAAAATCTTCTTGGCATTGGAATCATGATAAACATGGGGAAAGTCACAACAGAATTTTCGATTTGGAGTCGGCCCAAATCGAAAGAAAAAGATTTACTAAAATCGGCCAAAACAGTGATTGTTGTATTTTTCATCTATCCTGATTGTATTGTATTATATAGACTACAGTCATAAAGAGCAGTTAGGCTGAAGAATTCTGCGTAAAAGTAATACCACAGAGAATTGAGCTAATTTCTTGAGTGTTAAGCTGTTAGCCATAAATTATTACCAAACAGAGCTTAGCGTCAGACATCCTGTAATATGTATCATGCAAAAGCCACGAGGCTTAAGCCAATTGTGCTTGGTCTACCCTCGATACAAAGCACATGAAGTGTTAAACAGTTGGATTTTTCGCAAGGAATTCTTGAGCAACTTCGTACTAAGCTAAGTTTTTGAGCGGTCACGTATCTCTGTCTAAATCCATATTGGGTGGTGAATGTCTGGTACAACACTACGAGAATTAGAAATCTTGGTATAATAGCATGTCAATAATAAAGATAACATTTCATTGGTTGGTTATTGAAGGAAACCTAACAAAACGCACAACATATAAGTAAATCAAATTCTTATTATTACAACCAAAAAAAAAAAAAAAAACCAACCATTTCAGAACATAAATATATTAAGAGTACCCGCATGCATGCATCCATGAGATGACACAACATTCGATCAACTAAAGGTGCAAACATTGGGAAGGGGCCAAGGCTGCTTCAAACATTTGACCCTGTCTTTGCAGTCGGCATCTGTATTGCAATATATAGTAGAGAAACCTAATGAAGTCCTACAAAAAGGATAATGCACATAATCATAATTATGATCATCTCCTACAATAACACCATTTGACCTATCACAAAATGCAGCACAATCAGAGGCTTCCTGACACTGCAAAAACCGAGGAAGTATCTCTAGCTTCCTCTCGGAGATGCCCCGGCCGGCCGGCCTCGCTGCTTCCGAGCCGGGTGCTAAATAAGCAGCAAACATGATCGATATTATCAAAATGATTGTCTTATTTTGTTGTGAAAGGAAAAAATTAAAAGAGCACAATGGTTTTCAAACTCGATGAAGCATGTAAAGTTACTGATTACCTGCGCTGTAGAGAGTCAGCAACTCTTTGCTATTTTTTGGTTAGAATGGGAAGAGTGATTAATTAATTCATTCTTTTATTCTTGCCTTACTGGAAGTTTTGTTATGAGTCTTCTTCCCTCCTATTTTATTTTTAAGAAATTATTGAAAGCTCGCAATCATCAAAATCTAACTATTCGAAATCAATAATCTAAGCTCTTATTTCAAAATATGTGTCATTTACTGTTTACACATAATTCAAGAAACATTTAAATAGAAACGAATAAATTACTTAAATATCTTTTACCTACCCCATCATTGGCGTAACTGCATAAGGGCCTGGAAGATCCACCGACCCTCCAGTCCCCAGAAAACATAAGACACCAATGTTTTACGTATAGTTTTCCTATAGTTAACCCCTCCAGATCTCGCCGCCATGGTTAAGTTATTTTCCCTGATCTCTATTGGGGAGGAAAGTGGTCAAAACTGATATGTAAAACCGAAATTTTCAAAGGAGCCGGAGGTCAGGGGAGGAAGGAGACGCGTGGATTTCATTTTAGTTCTAAAATTTGCAGTGTTGGTCCCTTCATTTCATTGTCCTGACTTTTTAATATAATTATAACCTTCAAATCACTTATTATTATATCATAATATTGCAACTCAAAACCAAATTGTTTTTCAGAAAATTTATTTGCAGACCCAATTTTTAGTTATAACTTTTACTTATTGTTAATTGAAAAAATAGCCTCATATTCTCTTGTCTTACATGGTGGATGGAAACTCTTGAACTCAAGATATATATCCCATGTGCTACTCTCCTCATTGCCAATTGGTTTTGAGGTGGAACTACATGTAAGTTTATATTTGGGCCTTCAAGATGGTATCAGAGCGAGTTTATCTGCAGACCTGTGAGACTTGTGGGCGAGGTCGACCGACTGATATTGGACCTTTAACTTGCTCAGATTCGGGCTTTGACTTTGAAATTTTGACCAACAAAATAACCGATCGCAAGACTGAAAAATTTAAAAATATATTTAAAAAAAATATAAAATTACCCGTCTAAGCCCATTGGGCTTGAGAGTGGCGTGTTAAATGAAAAAAATACCTTATGTCTCTCATTGTCAATTGATTTTGAAGTAGAACCACGTGTGAGTTTATATTTGGGCCTTCAAGACTTATAAATATATTTTGATGAAATATGTGATCTACATAGCTTAATTTTTTTCCCTTGAAATTATTGAGCCCCTCCAAAAAGAAAAAGATTAAACTTAAGGGAAAAATTACAGTCCCTGTCCCAACGAAGAATGAACTGATTAAAACTAGTTTATACCCGTGTGTTGTACGGAGTGACAGATCATTCTTATTTAAATATCAAGTAATAATATTATGTAATTGTTAAACTTTTAGTATTGACGCATTAAAAAAACAGAATATAATATATAATATTATGGACACGGCTATAAAATGAATCAAAATCGAGAAAACTAATGAATTTTTATATCATCTTGATTATTTGTTTGTAAACAATATATTTCATCCGATTGCTAAATTCTTCTTCCGTGCTACATATAAGTACTTTAAGACCCTGTCTAGATTTCATGTTAGAAAATGTAATTTATATTGTTGTTCATAGGCAAAGACGAGATATGATAAAAATAGGCCCACTTGCGAGAATAGCTCTGGCTCTTATTGATCATCATAGCAAAACACGCAACAATCGAGAATTCTCTCATCTAGAATCTAACATGTATTCTTATGTTGGACAGTTGGATATCTATAAATAGAATGATTTTTTTTTTTGATATTTGATCTGTGTAAATTAGTAGTCTGGATGACGCAGTCACCCAGCTCGTCAACATGAAGTCTGATACCATTGCACAGCTAGCTAGTCTAGATTTTGAAGAAGTCCTTGCCGCTATTATTCATTGTTGATCAGTTTGGTTGAGTTTTTAGAAAATTAGAATGCTTCCTATCTGATTCGAAATCCCAAAAGAAAAGTTAAAAAATTTGACACGCATATAAATTAATGAAAAAGAAAAAATTTAAAATTTGTTGAAATTGTGTTGCCTGTAAAATAATAGCAATCAATATGTAAACATAATAACGAACATATCAGGGATAAATCAAATAATCTTTTTCATCTATTAGCAAACCTTTCATGGGTATCATCCGAGTATGGTAGCTAGGGAAATTATTTTGCCGACCAGAATATTAAATTTGATTGGTTATCATGTGCCATTGCTAGTTTTTTGGATAGAATTGGAGATAAGATATAAAGACATTTATTCACATTTAATTATATCATACAATTTATTTTTATGTGATTTGTCAATTTTACTTATCGAATATTTTGTCCATCATGATAAGAGGCTATTAAAAGTTAATTAATTTGGACAGAATATTTTAAATTTAAATTTCATAATTAATAAGATCAGAGTAAGTAAATAAAATTATTTCAATAAATAGATTAATTGACTGATAGAAATTGACTGTAAAAATAAAACGAAATAAATATTAAGAAAGGAATTTGAACAAAACACCTAGCAAACGCTGAAATACATAGCTTTTACTCTTTTTCTTTTACTCCCTCTGTCCCACAAAAATAGTCTACATTGGGTTTTGAGTTTTGTATTATTTTTAGTACAAATTTGAAAGCTCAATGTGGACTATTTTTTTGGGACGGAGGTAGTAATATAAATTACAAACTCTTACACTTTTTTCTTATTTATATATATACATAAACTCCTATGATGGAAATGAAGTGCCAATTAGTTTTTTTAATAGAGTGATTGTGACACTTTTTAGAAATTTATTTACGAAATCTAATTGTGACACATTAATCCTTTTATGAATTCATATAGTATTAAATATAAAACTAAATTCATTAGAGAAAAGAAAAATCACACATAAAACAAAAATATAAGAAAAAGTAACTATTACTAAAAAAAATGTAATACTTGTAATTTTGCTTTCGTGTCCAATCCCTACACTTCTAAAAAAAATGAAAAAAAAAAACTAGTAAAAATTCTTGATTCTAATAAATAATCCGTATAATGAAAATCACCCAATAGAGAAACCTTCGACTGATTCACAGATGGCAGATTTTAATGTCGAAAACGACAAAGATGGGTTAGAATACAATAGAAAAAATGAGATCCGAACAGAAATATTGAGGAAAAAAAAAAGACTTTAGATTATAATAATTATGAAATTTGAGAGATCATCCCATTAAATAAAAAACAAAAGCCAATATATTGCACTACATATATTTACAAAAAATATAATACATATAATCTATTCGGTTTCACCTGAAATAATTTGCTTCCTATATAAGTCTAGTAGAGCTCTCTATATGTCACAAATGAAATAAAATAAAACATATTCACATATCAATATTAATCTCATAACCAAGCAGTCATAATTGATACCAATAAAATAAAATAAAATAAAATAAAAAACATGTATTATACTTACATATCTTTAGGAGGTACTCCAATTTTTATTTTTATTTTGAAATCATGTACTTTAACATGGTTATAATCAAGTGGCCATTTTTATCATTGTCACTCATGTCATCTTATCCAGATAAATAAATAATAATAATAATATCATAAAATCATATCATTATGAAAATTGTAAAAATTTTCAAACTAAAACGCTAAAAAATGACCCGATAGTTTCATGTCATTCACCGATGAAAATGTAAGGTATAAAACTTTTCTAACTGCATCCAATTTATTTTATTTCTGAATAAAAGGTTGTGTAGATCATTTAACTAATAATCACGCTACTTACAACATGTATGTACATAGAAAATCAAAATACTTACATATAGGTAGAATATATATTGTTGCGAATTTCACAAAATAGACGGTGAAAAAAATGTTG